TGCCCCCCCCCCCCCTCCCTCCCCCCTTGTCTCGCCCCCTACCGGCGAACGCCTCAACTCCGCCGGTCACCCTTGGCGCGCAGGCTGCCCGCAAAGACGAAGGAGCGCACTCCCTCCTCCTCCTCCTCGGCGCCCAGCCCTCCTCCGGCGGGCCGTCGCCAAAGACGGCGCGGGCCGCCGACTCCGCCGCCGCTTCCGCAGCCAAGCTGCCTGCGGCAGCCACGCCTGCAGCGGCGGCAGCGGCGGCGGCGGCAACGGCGACCCCGGCGCTCCGCGCAGCAGCCGGCACCCCCGGGTCGATAGAGCTGGCGTGAGACGTCGCGCCGCGCAGCCGTCCTTTTCTGCAGCGTGGGGCGCGGCCCCGTCGGCGCCACGCCGCCGCGCGCTCCCGCGGCGCGCAGGGCGGCGGGCGCCGAATCCCGAGTAGGACTTGTGTCGGGGGAGGCATGCGTCTATGCTGTGGCGCGTGATCCGCCGATGCGGGGGGTGGCGCCCGCCGGTGCTAGCCGAGCGTTGCGGCGCACGAGCCGCGCTGCAGCATCGCGAGCGCACGCCCTGTAGCTGTACTTGAGGTATGTCTTTACGTACAATGTCATGTGCATGTGGAGAGTAGGCAGCCCCGTGTGAGTACCGTCGGCCGCAGAGGTATTGAGCCGTCTTGCGAGGATGACACAATTATTAAATTGTTTAAGTTAAATCATCAAGATACCGCAAAAAAATCGGCCAGACTAGCCTAGGGTAAATCGACAACCACAACTCGACAACTCTCAGCAATTGACAAACAAACAAACCAATCTCGTCTCTCTACTCAACAGCCCCTCTCTACTCAACAGCCCCTCTCTACTACCACTCACAACGACAAACAGTTCTAGTGTCTCTACTAAACAGCCCCTCTCTACTACCAACCACAACAACACATCATCGAGCGAGCACGCGTCACTCATCAGCATCACTCAGCATCATCTTCGCACCAGCAGAAGCTGCCTTTGCTCAAGCAGTTGCACACAAGCCCGGGGCAGCACGAACTGAAGGGCCCGTCGGGCTGGTGGTTCGGCGCCAAGGGGTTGGGAAACCTTGGATCTTGGCATTCATGCCCGATTGGGATGCAAGGAACAGAGGGCGGCAGGGGAGGCGGGGACGGCGGGGCTGGAGGCGGAGGCGGTGGTGGAAGCGGTGCATCCCCTGGCGGAAAGGGCGGCAGTGGCGGCGCTGTTGCGTCGGAAGGCTTCCCGTCGATCGCGTAGAGCTTCCAGCCATTTGGCTGTCCGCGCTTCCGCGTATACGGGACAGTCCCCCCCCCGGATCGCTGCCCACAGCAACCGCAAGTGTTATCGTCGCGGTTGAATCTCATGAAGCGCTGGTCGCAGAGACGAAGCATGCCTGGCCCGCCGGACACGGCTTGCATGCACGCGTTGATGCGCGGACCGGTGTACCGCTCAAGGTTGATGTAAGGTGTTTGGACCCAGCACTTGTACTCTCCGTCGCCGACGACGGGGGGGCGCGCAGGCGTGCTCGCATTGACGAGGTACTGGTCGTACCGGGTGACGCTGTCTAGCCATCCCAGGTAGGCGTGAGAGTTGGATGTGGTGTTCCGCCCACCCACTGAGCCGTCGGTGATGGAGACGCCGAACGTACCTCCTTCGACATCTTCAAGGCTGGTTATGTCGTACCGCACGAAGCCCTGGCTGCTGCTAGTCTTGATTGTGACCTGCGCGCCTAGTTTATCTCCGCGATTGCTTGGATTGCGCTCGCACAACCCTCCAACCCCTTGCTCCGGGTGACAATGGACGACGTTCCGGTTGAGTAATTTGAGGGTCCTGGACAGCCTTCCACGGCCCGTATTCTCAAAGACGGTGCATTGCCCCGGCTCCCTCCACGCATCCCATGGAAACCCGGCGACGGCCGTGTAGCTGGTGGGGCACTTTTCTCCATCGACACAGTCGCCCGGGTTGAAGTCAAAGGCATCAAAGTAGGCACAGTCTTGCTTGTCAACGACCTTCCAAACCTTGTCGGGCAACCTCCCGCAATGATCGTCAGGGCCCGGGATCCGCCGATCCACCTGATTGCAGATCGCCACCTGGTAGACGCCGGCCTTGACCTTGATCGTGTCGAACGTTTTCTGGTACAGCTTGTGCGCAGCGGCCGGGAGCTTGCCAAACTGAGAAATGATCGAGGTGTAGTCCATGGCTGGGCCGAGGGTCCACGAGCCAAACTCTGGCGGGACAGATTGCTGCGTGAAGCCGAGGCCCATCGCCGTGCCCACAAGCAATGCGTGCTGCTTGAGTCCGACGGATCGCAAGGCGTTCATCTGCGCTCGGTTGATGAGACCAACAAGGCTAAAGATGCCGTCAGCCGTCAGATCGCCAGGATCCTTTGCCGCGACGGCATTTGTGATTGTGTTGAGCGCAGTGATGTAGTTGGTGAGCACGTCATCCAGAGAAGGGAGTTTGCCCTTCGAGACGGTGCTGCCATCACCGACAAGGCGGGCCGCGTACGACATCAGGCGTTCCGTCTCGTCCGTTCTTACTGCACCAGTACTGACCAGGTGGTCATCGAACTTCTTGATGAGCTGGAGGGCGACCTCCATGGGCTTGAGAGGCTTGAGAGACTTGCCGCGCCACACCTCGCTTGCCACTTGCTTTCCTTCCCTCGTCTTGAAGTACGCGTCGATCCCCTTGTAGAGGTTTTCCCCGAGGGCGCTCCCCACGCCTGGAAGCTTGAGGGTTGTTGCAGAATTGTTTAGGTTGGCCTGGTCCTTGAGCACAGCCGCCATCGCCCCTTGGTACTCGTCTCTGTGCAATCCGTCAATCAGTCCCTCCAGTTCAAGTTCGAGGTCCTCTACGTGCGTCAGTTGGGCGCCGATCTTGCCAAGCATCGCCTTGATCTCTGCAAACTCCTCCGCCTCCTGCATCTGCTGTAGCAGGAGGGCGACGCCGATTCCAGCCTCGGCGAGGTCCGAGAGGTCGAGCGCGTCCTCGGCCCACGAAGCAGTGAGGGGGCCTGCAGCCTCAGAATCCGAAGAAGCGAAGTCGAACACGCCCTCCGCCGCATCCCCTGCCTCGGAGTCCTTGGCGAAGAAGTCTTCTGCGTCGTCGGACGCCTCCTTTGGGCAGGCTTGACAGTCGGGACACACCTCCTCAGGCGCCTGAAGCGGGCGGTCTTCCCGGCGAGTGTCGTTTGAAGACTCGTGAAGACGCCGCCGCACGGGAACCCTGTTCCTGACAAAGCACTGTGCCCATCGCGGATACGTGTCTATTTGGTAGACCGTGTTCTGGTAGGTGCACCAGTTGGCGTTTGTCCTCTGCTGAGCTCGCGGATCCCCCAAGCCACGACGGCAAAGTGTATCGTGCACGCTAGAGTCAAGATACCGAACCTGATTTGCTTCTTCGTTGAAGTGATTTGCTTGTTCCCAAATGTCTCCGGCCAGATCGCTCCAACGCAGCGCGTCTTCCCCAGTCAGCACATATCTGCCGTCGCCGCCGACGCCGCCTGTACCAGCGGCGAAATCCCAATACTGGCCAAGCCACTCAGCGTCGTTGAAGGAGCGATACATGTTCTCCATGGTTTGCAGGCAGGCCTTCGCCGCTTGTCCGTAGTCTCGCCAGCCCCTGATCATCCGCGCCTCTTCTGGTGTGATCTCCTCCCTTCGCCTACGAGGAACTGGGGCGAGAGGAGGCAAATGTCGTCCAAGTTCGACAAACTCATCCCGCACCGAAGTCCAAGAGCGCTCCATCTCATCAAGCCAGCGGGAGCAAGTCGCCTCTCCATCTTCCCAAGTGCAGGGCCACGTGAAGCCAGGCCATGGAGGCCTGCCTCCAAGTGCGTTCCTGTCGCGGCTCTCCCGACTCCACAGGTCGGCGTTGCAAATGGCCGGAGTCGGCACTCCGACGGCGACTAAGCTGCCTGCAAGGTCGTTGCCAGGCGGTGCCGGTGGGAAGTTTTTGATCCGTTTGTCGAAGATGTCCTCCCAGTAGGTGTCATTGAAGAAGTTGTCGCCGAGATCGTCCGGGTACTTGAGCTTGACCAAGTCGCGCAGGCCGCCATCAAAGATCCACTTGTAGATTGGCAGATAGTCGCCAGTTGCCCGGTCGAAGCCGATGAGATCGCGGCCGGTCACAGTAGCGCTGGACGCGAGCGTTTGGGCCGCCAGCGCCAGGATGGCCACGCTTGCCGCCATGACGCAGAGAGCACAGCGACCCTTGCAGGACTCTTTGGAGTTGGAGCCAGCAACCCGCTTGTAGGACTATTAAAATAAGGGCGCACTTAGGCGTCCTTGCAGGACGAAGATCTTTTCTTTTTCTCAAAATCAGATATATTCTTGACATGGCAGGCCACGCTCAAGCCCTACAAGCACCAGATCGCCCTCAGGGTTAACCCCTAGTCTAGCGGGAATTTTCGGTGTATCGTGAATGATCGCCTAATATCGCCTAATATTGCGCAATATCGCGCAAAATCGCGCAATATCGCGCAAATATCGCGCGATATCGCGCACCCTCGCGCACCCTCGGCCCTCGCCCCGGCGGCGGACCGCGGCCGCGGATTTCTTTGTTTTCGGAGCACGGAGGAGACCATCTAAAGCTGGCGGCGCAGCCGGCGCGCCTGCGGCGCGCCGTGGTTTCTTAATTTTCGCGGAAACGCCCAGGTGTGGTTTATTGATCATACGTGACGTAGTCGGGTTTCTTTCTTTACACGATATAGGCACCTTACAGTACTTCTCTCTCTCTCTCTCTCTCTCTCTCTCTCTCTCTCTCTCTCTCTCTCTCTCTCTCTCTCTCTCTCTCTCATCTCTCTCTCTCTCTCTCTCTCTCTCTCTCTCTCTCTCTCTCTCTCTCTCTCTGAGTCTCTCTCTCTCTCTCTCTCTCATCTCTCTCTCTCTCTCTCTCGTGAGTACGGTGTGAGCACACACACACACACACACACACACATACACACACACACACGCGCGCGCGCGCTCAAGCAGGCCAGCTCTGGAAAAAATAACAAAGTTCGCTTGTTCGCGGTTCGAGTGACCGCTTGCCGGGGGTGGCTTTTTCGTCACCACTTCTGGGGGACCACCCTCGATATTGCAGCGGCCGCACTTCGCCACTCCGCGGTGAGCGATGTTGCGGGCCAGCTCGCGAGTCGCGTAGAGCTCGGCACGAAGTCGAAGACCAATAGAGGTCGAGCGGGGTTGTGACCTGCCTTTGAAAGAGTAGCTACAACACATGAAGGTCATGCATTGTGTCGTGTGAGGGCTAAAAGAAAGAAGCGAAAGCGACCACTCAGCGACATGCATATGGGAGAGCCCATGGGAGAACGGTCGAGAACAGCACATACGGCATAGGCGCGCCACCTTACACAATGAACCATGCGCTCCGATCACGTGCAAGAAGGTGAGGAGACCAGTGTGGCGATCTGTGCAGCCGGCAACACTGTTCACTGCGCCCCCTGCCACTCTCGGATCATCCGGCGCAGGATGTGGCTGGGGAAGAGACCTGTGTTGCCAAGCTCTTCGCCTGTCATCGGGCTCGTCGACTTGGTCGCGAGCCAGCGCTCGATCGCCGACCGCTCGTAAGCATGCCCATCGGCCGCCATCACCGGGTCGCTCATGACCTCGGTCGTGATCGGGCAGATGAAGTCGGCTGGTGGCTCCTCCTCCTCCTCCCCCGAAGGCGGCCTCTCTGCAGCCAAAGAGCACGACGCCTGCTCGTCGGGCGCCCGCCTCTCCTCCTCCAGCCTCGTGCTCTCCTCGAGCGCCGCCGCCAACTCCGCCTCCTCCTCCGCCGCCAACGCTGCCTCATCCTCGGGCTCCCGCGACGGCCCAGCGCCGCCCCCCCCGCCCTTCCCCTTCTTCTTCTTCTTCTTCTTCTTGCCCTTCTTGCTCTCCTTGGCGCGCTCCCCCTCCTTCTCCGCCTCCTCCAGCAGCGCCTCGGCATGCCGCGCCGCCTCTGCCTCCGCCTCCGCTCTCTCCGCCTCCCTCGCCGCTGCCTTCGCCGCCGCCTCCGCTGCCGCCTCCGCCGCCGCCGCATGCTCCTCGAGGGCGCGCACGCACCCGGCGTGGCCCTTCTCCTTGGCCACCTGCAGCGCCGTCCTGCCGCTCGCACTGCAGCAGCACCTCGACCACCCGCTCGTGGCCTTCGCGGGCGGCGATCATCAGCGCGGTCCCGCCGACGCTATTCTGCAGGTTGATCTCTGCGCCGTGCCGCAGCAGCACCTCGACCGCCCGCTCGTGGCCATGCTGGGCGGCGAGCATCAGCGCGGTGACGCCGACGCTGTCCTGCTTGTTGATCTCCGCGCCGCGCTGCAGCAGCAGCTCGACCACCCGCACGTGGCCGTGGTGGGCGGCAAGCATCAGCGCGGCGACGCCGCTCGTATCGCCTACCCCGCAAGTCGCGTTGACCCGCCCGCCGCTGTCAAGCCATGCCAGCAGCGCCGCCTCTTCGCCACGCGCAGCCGCCTGCCTGGCCTCTTCGGAAAGGCTGCCCGGGGAGCCGGAAGAGGCCGCGGCCCTCGCTCCCGCCGCCGCCTCGCCCGAGCAAGCGCCGCCCGCACCGCCCGCCGCCGCCTCGCGCTGGGCCGCAGTCACCTCCTCGATGTGCTGCCGGAAGGCGCCGACGCAGGCGGCGTGGCCCTTCTCCTTGGCCCACTGCAGCGCGGACTTGCCGTCCGCAGAGCGCACCGCTGTATCCGCGCCCGCGCGAAGCAGGCGGAGGACGACGGCGGGGTGGTTGAAGAAGGCGGCGTCCATCAGCGCGGTCCAGCCTTCGTCGCTCTGCAAGTTGATCTCCGCGCCGAACTGCAACAGAAGATCGACCACCCGCTCGCGGCCGTTGCCGGCGGCGATCATCAGCGCGGTGCCGCCGTCGCTGTCCTGCTTGTTGATCTGCGCGCCGCGCCGCAACAGAAGATCGACCATCCGCTCGTGGCCTTTGATGGCGGCGACCGTCAGCGCGGTGACGCCTTTGCAGTTCTGCATGTTGATCTCCGCGCCGCGCTGCAACAGAAGATCGACCAGCCGATCGTGGCCGTTGCCGGCGGCGTACGTCAGCGCGGTCCAGCCGTCGCTGTTCTGCAGGTTAACCTCCGCGCCGCGCTGCAACAGAAGGCCCAACACCCGCTCGTGGCCGTGAGTGGCGGCGTACATCAGCGCGGTGCCGCCTTTGCAGGTCTGCAGGTTGACCTCCGCGCCACGCCGCAGCAGCAGCTCGACCGACGCCTCCCGGCCGTTGCCGGCGGCGAGCATCAGCACGGTGACACCACTCCTCTCGCCCTCCCCAAAAGTCGCATCGACCCGCCCGCCGCAATCAAGCCACGCCAGCACCGCCGCCTCGTCGCCTCGCCCAGCCGCTCGTCGTGCCAAGCCGTTTTTCTTTTCCTCAAGAAGCGCGACACGAAGAGATCCACTCGGCGCAGCAGGTGACGCAGGTCCTGCTGCGCTTCTGCAGCAACACGACGCTCACCTTCTTCCTTCGCGCCATGCCGCCGTCGGTCACCCTCCCGGCCGCTGAGAGGCACGACGCGAGCTGATTGACACAGCGCTCTACAGCGCTATACAAGCAAGCTCGTCGGCGGGCCGCGGGTCGGCGCCGCCGGCACGTGCTGGGAGCGCGCGCGCAAGCAGGCGCCTGCCCGTCAAGATGGGCGGCATGGGCCTCACCAGCGCCGTCGACATCCGTGAGCCGGCGTGGATTGGCACGTGGGCGCTCGGAACGGGTGGTGTGGCATACAGGTACAGGTACAGGTGGCCATTCAGAGAGGTGTGCGAGAGGGTATGATTGCCGTGCTTCGAAAGTAGCCCTTGGACAGGAAGAAGAGGATCATCTGCGAGCGAGCGATGTACTCCTCGAGCGCCCCGATGTCGTCAAGATCATCTACCTGTTGCGAAGGTGTGTAGCGTCGGACATAGCGTCGTCGCTCGCGAGCGGGAGCAGCCAGGGTGCGCACGTCGAGGAATATCTTGATTCCGGGCAGCAGCTGCTGCAGCTCGTTCTTGATGTTCGCGGCGGCGTCTTGCCCGGTCGACCTACTCGGGGATGGGGGTAACAAAGCGGACCCCTAATCCGCCCGTCCTCTCTGTCGCTACCCGTCTGTATTATTATTAACATTATTATGACCCCCCCAATGAACACACCAGTGAGGGAGGGCGAGACGATCGAGGGGTCCCGTACCATGCGGAATCGACCCTATCCGGTGCTCAAGTGCTCAACATTATTATTAACAACGAAGGCCCGGATCCTGCTGACCAAGCAGCAAGCTCCTCTTGTAGCTCGATCGGTCACACCGCCATCGCTTGGCCTGTATATACTTTTCCGGCAAACAAAAAGGAAAACAGAGGGTCCCCAGCACTTTGCGTTTCCGGAAATTTCCAGGGAAAACAGAGGGTGTTTGGTGCTCCATTCTAGAAACTCGCGAGTTTCCCTGCGTCTGACTCTGAGAGCTGGTCTGGGCGGGGCAAAATCTGAGGCAAAATTGAGGAAATCGACAAAATACCCAGGCGGTCGCAGGGTAATTTCCAGGTATACACGGGTTCTCCGCAAAATTCCCGGCATTTTGACGATTTGGCCTAAAATTTGGCTGATTTTGGGCCCAAACTAGCCTCAGACTCGGCTCAGAGCCAAAAAATTGACGATTTCCACGGAGTTTTCTCGGGAAAATAGAGAGGAAAAGAGAGGGTGCTGTAGAGAAAAAAGGAAAGGAAAACAGACGGGGTGCGAGAGGCAAAGCATATACAGCCTAAGCCATCGCCGTCGGGGAGAGAGAGGGGGGACGACACACACTGCTTCGGCAGCGTGCACCTCGATCCTGTGCCGTGTTTGTTATGACCCCCCCCCATGAACATACCAGTGAGGGAGGGCGAGACGATCGAGGGGTCCCGTACCATGCGGAATCGACCCTAAGCAAACCGTAGCTGCGGCAAGCCCCCCCCCCCCCGGGGGCGAGTCCACCCGCCGATCGTGGCGAGAGCGGCAAGTGCATCCAGGTCGGTGGTAACGATCGGCGCAGTCTCATCCGTGTGAGCCACTCCGATGACGCGCGTGCTCCGCTCCGCCTCCTCCGCGCTCACGGTGTGGATGCCCCAACCACCTTCAATCCACCTCGGGGTGCGCGTCCAGGTCGAATGGGGCTTGAAGCCTTATGCAGGCGCGAAGCAGGCAGAGCTGTCGCACTGCTGGTTCGCCGGCGTGGTCGATGGGCTGAAGGACGGATACTTCCACGTGTCGTACAACGACGGCGACGAGCGCTGGCACCCGCTGTCGTGGGTCGCGCGGGGCAAAGTGCGAGCGGGCCGCAACACCGACGCCAAGAGCCAACAGCGCGGCGCGGGCGCGGCTGCCGGCCGCAAGGCGCGAGCGGGCGGGGCTGCCGGCGGCAAGGCGCGCGCGGCCGGCAAAGCGGCCGTTAAGGCGCCGGAGGCTAAGGAGCTGTCCGAGGAAGAGGTTCAGGCGGCGGTCCGGGCGGAGGGCCTCATTCTCGTTCCGGGCAGCGGCATGAGCGGCTTCTGGGGCGTCCGGTGCGGCTCGATGGAAAAGCTCAAGCCGTTCGCGGCGGTCGTCAAGGGGAGATACCTCGGAGCCTTCGCCACCACCGACGAGGCGGCGCTCGCCGTTGCGCGCTCGCCCGAGGGCAAGGCGGAGGCGGCTCGCTTGGGCCTCGCCGCCGCCGCCTCCGCCGCCTCGGCGGCAAAGCTGGCCGCCAAGGATAGGGCGCGCGGCAAGCGGGCGGCTCCGCAGCCGCCGGCGCCGAAGCGGGCGCGTGTGCACCCCCCGGCGTCGGAAGCAAGCTCCCCCTCCTCCTCCGCCGCGTCCTCCTCCGCCGCCGCCTCCTCCTCTCCGAGCCTCGCGCCGCCGCCCGCGCCCGCGCCAGCAGCAGCCGTAGCCGGCGCGCCCGCGCCGCCCGCCGCCGGGACTGCGATCGTGCGCGTCTCGGGCATGGAGGCCGTGAAGAACGCGCTCGAGAGGCTCAATCTGGGCGCGTACGCGCAGGCGTTCGAGCTCGATGGCTGGGATGACCTCGGCTGCCTCGCCCTCCTCGACGCTGCATTCGTACGCGCAGTCTCCTACAATGGGGGTGCGTCCTCTCATAGGCTACCTCGCCCTCCTCGACACGGCGGAGCTCACCGAGGTGCGAGCAGCCCGGGGCGCCTCCCCCCTCGCCACCCCTCTTTTTGCTCTTAAGCCTCTCTGCCTTCGCCCCCCCCCCCCCCGCCCCTCCCCCCAATCGCAGATCGCAGCCTCGATCAAGATGAAGCCAGGCCACGCCGGCAAGTTCGTCAAGTTTTTCCCCGACGCGGCGCAGGCCACCCTCCGCTAAGAGGCGCACCACGCCTCCCGAGCCACGCCACGTCGGGTGGCGTGGAGAGGAGCGCGCCCCGCACGCCCGCGTAGTTAGAGCTACGGGCAGCGAGAGCACACCGAGGTGTGCCTGGTCGGTGTGTGCCGTTGGGCGCTTCGGCTCAGAGTGGCGTCTGTGGGGAGACTAGGGGGTCCATCGAGGTCCACCGCGGCACTTCCAAAGTCTCGCAGCACGAGACAGAATTTATTTAGATGATTTCTCTCGGCGTCTCGCGTGCACGACACGCGGCAGCCGGCACGGGCGACGGGGCACGCGTATACGGCTCTAGCTTGCTTGGGTGCAGTCACGTCTCAGTCAGGCCCCACAGCTCCTCCCCCAGCGGCGGAGCCCCCGGGATCGCCTCGAGCTCGATCAGCCGCACCTCTGCGCCGCGGCCGTGCTCGGCGGCCGCCGTGCCGGAGCCGCATCCGGGGGGCAGCAGCGCCGCCGTGCCGGCCGGCGAACCGAGCGGCACAAACGGCGCCCCGCGCAGCAGCCTCAGCCGGAAACGGCGCGCGGCAGCCGTCCAGAACAAGTGCTCGTCCGGGTGGCGGGAGCGGTGTGCCATGACGGTGCGGGACGCGACGCCCAGCGCGGCGAGCCGCATCAGCGTGAGCAGCAGTGGGCGGTAGGCGGCAGGCTCGTATACGACGTCGCTGCACAAGGTGAGCCACGCCGCCCCGCCCGCCGTCGGCCCTACCTCGCCCGACGCGCCGCTCTGCTCGCGCCCAGCCGCGGCTTTGCCGCCGCCGCCGCCGGCCCGCCGCTCCGCCGCTCCGCCGTCGGGGAGCGCTGTCCCGCCCCAGCCGCTGACCGCCTTGGACGGGTCGGGGAGACGTCGCCCCGGACTCCGCCTCTCCCTCTCCCCCTGTCTGGTATAGCCCCAGCCGACTCCGCGTGAACTCTCGAGGGATCTCGAGTTGCTCCCAGCTGCTCGGTGTACGAACTCTGTTCACACCGAGCAGCTGGGAGTGGCTGCGGCTATAGCAGACAGCCTCTTCCCCGGCCAGTGTGCTAGTGTGACCTCGCCTGCTCGAGCCGCGCGAGGAGGGAGGCGTCATCGCAGCCCCACTCAAGCGGCGCGACGGCGGGCGGGTGGGCGCAACGGTGCGCGTTGGCCGTCGCGTTGACGCGGAGGGCGGGCAGCGCCTACTGATCTCGGGTGATCTCGGGTGATCTCGGGTGATCTCGGGTGATCTCGTCGTCGCGTCGTCGCGGAGGCAGGCAGCGCCTATCCGAGCCGCTCGCAGCCTGAGCCCCCCCACACGCCCTCCCTCGGCGGCACCAGCTCTCCGCCAAAGCAGGGGAAGCCTCGGGGAGATCGGTGAGGAGGACGCGCGCGCCGACCGACGCAGCCGCTATGCCTCCGACGCCGACGCCGGAGCCAACCTCGAGCACGAGGTCGCCGTCGCCGATGGCGAGACCTCCCTCGCCGAGCCAATCGCAGAGGGCGACGCCCGAGTCCCACACGCGGCCGCAGATGCCTATCACCTCGGGCGATCTCGGGTGATCTCCGGCGATCTCGGGCCGCACTCCCGTCCGGAGGTGATCTCGGGCGATCTCGGGTGATCTCGGGCGATCTCGGGCCGCACTCCCGTCCGGAGGTGATCTCGGGCGATCTCGGGTGATCTCGGGCGATCTCGGGCCGCACTCCCGTCCGGAGGTGATTTCGGGTGATCTCGGGTGATCTCGGGTGATCTCGGGCGATCTCGGGCGATCTCGGGCCGCCCGCAGACTCGGCGAGCAGGAGAGGGAGCGGGCTCGTCGCACAGCCAGGCGGCGGCAGCAGCCGGAAGCCCTGCACGCTCTCGTGGAGGGGAGACCCGTCTCTGCGCAGGCTCGGCCTGCAGGACGTATCCCGGGACGTGTCAGCGACGACGCCCGTACGCGTGCAACGCCATGTCCCGGGCCGTGAGGTGGGTGCAGGGTGGGGGTGGGTGGGTGGTTCCAAGCCTCAGCCGGGCCGTGAGGTGGGTGGGTGGGTGGGTGGCTGGGGTCGGCCTCAGCGCGTCTCGCAGCGCAATGTCGGCGGCGGGCTCGTCGGCGGCGTCTCCTCCGCCACCGACGCTGCCGCCGCCAGCACTGCCGCCCTCAGCGCCGCCGCCAGCACTGCGACCAAGGAGCGGCAACGGCAGGCTGAGTGCGCCGAGGGGAGGCATCGCCGGGGGAGGCGCCGCTCGCCGGCGAGTTGCGTCGGCTGCGCCTCGCGGGCCGGCGCCGGCGCCGGCACCGGCGGAACCGCACGCGGGAGCAGATCCCGCACGGGCGCCATCGCCCACTGTAGCCTCCACGGTCGCCCGAAGCACGGCGAGCGCCGCGGCACACTGCTCTGCCGCGTGCTCGGGCTGCGGCCGGCCTGCCGTGTGCTGCCCCCGCCGCGCGCAGCTGCAGCAGCCGGAGCTGCTCTCCCTCTCCTCCCGCAACTCCAGTCGCACCTCTGCCGTCGCGCGGCCTCGGTGCAGCTGGAGCAGCACGCCGCCGGAGGCGCCGTCGCCAGGATGGGTGGGCAGCGACGCCGGCGCCGCATCGGGCGGCGGCGCCGGATCCGCCGCCTGGCGCAGCGTCAGCCGCAGCGGACCAGCCTCGGAGGAGAGGGCAACGGCGTCGAGCCGCACGCGGCCGCTCGCTGCGGCGGCGAAGGCCTCGGCGTCGAAGAGGCCCATCTCGTTGGTCAGCCGCACCGCGATCGTGTGCCAGCAGCCGCACCGCAGCGCGCACGGCAGAGGCGCGCACAGGTGCACCCGCAGCGTCTGCCGCCCGTCTGCCATCGAGAAGCCTGCACCCGTCACGGCTGAGTGTGCCGCCGCCTCGGCGGCGCTGGCTGCCACGGGCGCCGACGACGCTTCCGCCGCCGCTCGGCGCAGCAGCGCCGCCGCCTCCTGTGACGCCTGCGCCGGCACCGCCGACAGCCTCAGCACGTGCGCCGCCTCGCGGCCGGCGTCAGCCTGCCGGCCAAGCTCGCCGAGCGCACGTGCCAGACGGAGCCGCGGCCGCCAGTCCGCGGGTCGCGCTGTGAGAGACAGCGCCGCGTCGTGCGCCGCCGCGGCGGCGGCGCCGTCCTGGAGGCGCGCCGCGCTGCGGTTGGCGAGGAGCGTCGTGACGGCTTGCGTGTCACAGTCAGCCAGATCGATCGCTCGCGTGTAGCCCGCTACTGCACGTGCCCAATCGCCGGACGCGTACCCCGCCGCTGCGTCGCGCGCAGCGTGTTCGAGCGGTGTTTGGGTCTGCGTCGTTGCGAGTGAGGAAGGCGCGCGCAGTTCTCGGCGGAAGTCCTCTCTCTACGAGCTCCGATGCTCCGGCGAGAGCCGGCGAAGGCAAAAAGATTTCCTTTCGGCGTCCTGTTGTGTGTGCCTTCGCTTCCCTTGTCAGGAGCAGGAGAGCCCCACCTGTCCCCCTGATCGTCCTTCCAAAATCCTGCTCGTGCAGGTGGGGACCCTGTCCTCCTCCCCCATCCCTCGTCTGGGCTTGTGTGTTTTCTTTCTTTCTTTCTTTCTGCCTTCGCTTGTTATTAACATCGAAGTCTAGCTCAAAAGATTTTACGCAGTGGGCTGCGCGGCGAGCCTTCCTCGGAGGAGAAGGAGAAGGGATTCCCGCCCGTGAAGGCTGGCACGAGAGCGTCGTCTGGCACGTCGTCCGTGAATGACGGGGTCATGGAGCTCTGGTGTGGTGCTCAACTTCGCCGGCGTTTCTCATCCTTCTACCTACGCTACTAGTTAGTACTCGGCCGCTGACACAGAGGATAAAAAGAAACAAATTCCGCCTGTCTGACAGTCAATTACGAGGACAAAGAGAAAACAAGCAGCTCGCTAGCACGCACACAGGTTCGACACACTCGACGTCCACGTCCCGCCGTGCCATTGCGCATTGGCCGGTGGTGGCGACGGGCCATGCGTGCCTTTGGCCGCGTCGGCTCGCGGGATTGCCAACAGACCAGCTATCAGGTGCTGTCAGTGCTGTCAGGTGCTGTCGGGTGCGTGTCTGACAGGCGAGGTGATCTGTAGCTGTCGGGTGCTGTCGGAGCTGTCGGGTGTTGCTGTCAGACGCTGTCGGAGCTGTCAGAGCTGTCAGGCTGCTGCTGCTGTCAGACGTTGGGCTGTTGCTGTCAGGTGCTGTCAGGTGGTGCTGTCCGGGGCGCTGTCAGCCTCTGACCTCTGACACACACCAGCCACACTTATGACACTATCAAGAGGAGACCAGCAGGACTCTGCTACACATACTCTAGTCTCTACTCTGCCTCCGGTCCCACCATCACGCCGGCGGCGGCGGCCGCCTGGGGAGCGCAGATGGCGGCGCAGGCGCAAGCGCAGGCGGCAGCACAGACGGCGGCGGCCACCCCCACCCAGACGCCGTATAGGCATATATGACTGTAGGGCCCAAGAAGGCTAGCTGGTAGCTTTATTTGTAGTAGCATACAGCCGCCGGTGCTAGAGAGAGAGGTCCGCCGCAGAGGTGGGGCGGGAGGGTTGAGAGAGAGACCCATGACCATCCCATGACTACATGGTCCACACTCACATGCACATGTACATGTCTTTGCATGTAATTTTGTTTTACCTCATGGGGCACAAGAAAGAGGCTCTACGGGGTCTGTGTACGGTCTGTGCTGCTGTCGGGCTGTCGGCGCTGCTGTCAGGCCACTGTGTGCTGTCGGGCTGTCAGGCAGCTGTCAGGCTGTCACGTTAGGGCCTGACAGCGACGGGTCACCTCGCCTGTCAGACTCTGCTGTCAGGCTGTCAGATACGTGCTGTCAGACTGTCAGAGAAAGTGCTGTCAGCGCTGTCAGGCTGTCGGGCACTGTCAGGCGCTGTCCGGGGTTTGCTGTCAGGCTGTCAGACCAGGGCTTGCTCGCGATGAACTGCTAAAAAGCACCTTTGGCGGCTATTGCTCAAAACCCTGGGAGAGAAGGCCTACATAGTATTGCTGCATCCATGCGTCTGGTGCATGAGGGCTGTGGGTCGGGACATTTCACGGTCGGTGGCGCCGATATTGACCTCCCGAAAGCCCTCGCAATCGCTCGGCACGGGGTCACCGGGAGTGCTCTCGAGCCCTACACCGGAGCATCACGAGCCGGTGCGAGCTTGAAGACCCGAGATAAGTGCGGTCTGGGACAGCTCAGGGTTGCTACTGATGGGCTAGGCCAGGAGAGCGACAGAGAAGGCGAGGTGGTGAGCTGGTAATCCATCGCAAGCGACCCGGAGCGCGCAACCGCGCATCTCGCCGCCGCGGGGCTCCGACTGGTTATCTAGACCTTCCTTCTTCCTCCCTGTTCCTTCCTTTCCCCTTCCCATCTCTTCCCGGCCTCCGGCCGGCGCCTGCGGCGCAGTTCTTTTTTTCCTTTTCTTGCACCACTGTAAAAAAAATGCCAAATAAACGCCACCTGGCAGGCGAGGGATTTGCCCTGCCTTCCGGGGAGATCAGTGTGACTCCGCCGCGTTCAACCGTCTCTCCGCGGCCCGCCACCTCCAAAACAGAGGTGCCCAGTCGATGACGGAAGAAGGCCGGCCGAAGCGGCAGCGACATGCCGTTCCCCGTTACGACCCAGATACGGAGCAGAACCGTGCGCAGTGGGCTGGCGCCACCACCGCCGCCGCCACCGCCTCTCCTGCAGCCGACCCCATGCAGCCGTCTACAGCGGACGCAGTGTGGACCACCGAGGAGCTTCAGAGGTTTGTGCAGGAGGCGCGGACTGCGGACCCAAGGCACTTCAAGATGGATCATGAGCTGGCTGAGGCGATCACCGCCGCGACGGACAAGGTGCGACCGGGAGTGCGGGTGACCCGTGCGGCGCTAGAGCTGCTGACCGAGTTGGCGAGCGCACCCACGGCGGGGGGGGCGCTGGCGGGAGTTCTGCAGAACCTGGACGAGAAGCACCGCCGCCGCGCGATAGTGTGCATGGATCGGTACGCGCAGCGTCTCGCCGAGCAACAAGGCAACAAGGGGCATCGGGACGCGGCGGAGCAGTTCAGACACATTCTGATGAAAAACCAACGGGCGAGGTGCAGGCCACACTTGTACGTCAGACAGGCGGAACACGCCGTGCGGCGCATTCGCGAGGGGAAAGAGCCGAGGAAGAGGTGGGGCAAGAGGCCCAGAAAGGGCATGGATGAGGCGCTGCAAAGGTTGGCAGGGAGTGAGGCGGGAGCGTGGCTAGCGAGGCAGGCGGCGGGAGAGGAACAGGAAGAGGCCAAGCGGCGCAAGGAGGCGACCCCAGCTGCTCCGCCTCCGCGGCAATCCAGCAGCAGCAGCAGCAGCAGCCGTGCGAGCAGTAGGCAAAAGCCCCGCCACAAGAAAACCCCCGGCAGCTTGAAGGCGCAGCGCAAGGTGGACGGAATTTTCGGCACCACAGTGGAGGCGGCGATGCCGACGCGCGAGCATGCGGGGGCCCAGGCTCGGGACCAGGCGGTGGCGGTGGCGGCGGCGCCAGGCGCAGCGAGGCCGGCGCCCACAGCAGCAGCTAGGGCGCCCGTGCTAGAGGAGGCGCAGGGGTTGCGGCTGCACTTGGCCGACAACAGCAGGAACCGGAGCGGCTACCGCGGTGTCGTTGAGCGAGGACCTGGTCGCTTCGAAGCATCCGGTACTATTGGCGGGCGACGCATTTTCGTTGGCTATTTCGACACGGCCTCACGGCCGCGAGTGGCAAGACAGCCGACTTGCGCATCGGTCGGCATTACTGTTTCCTGGCACACATTAGGCTGTGGAGGCGGCGGTGGCATACGCGCGGGCGGTCGAGGCGGCGGAGCGAGCGGCGGTGGAGCCAGTAGTCACGGTTCCAGCTGCGGAGCCGGCGGCTGGCGCGGCAGGCGCGGCAGGCGAGCCTCGAGAACAGGGTTTGGCTTCCTCGCAGACGATCGTTCCGCCGCTGGCACCGCGCACTGAAGCGCTCGCGGCGTCCGAGCCGGGGCGGACGGCAGCGGTCGCGACGGAGGCGGAGGGCTTGCGTCTGCACCTCTCGAGCAGCAACAGCACTGGCTATAGAGGTGTGTACGAAGACTCTGGCCGCTTCCAGGCGCAGCACTGGGTGGACGGAAGGAATGCCTACCTCGGCACCTTTGGCTCGGCGGTGGAGGCGGCGGTGGCGTACGCGCGGGCGGTCGGCGAGTACCAGCCTCCGCCAGTGGCTGCGGTGACGGCGGCCGAGGGCTTTCAACTGCACATGTCCAGCAGCAACGCCACGGGCTACACGGGCGTGAGCTTGGAGAGGGGCCGTTTTCAGGCAAGGCGCGTTGTGAACGGAAGGCAGGTCTACCTCGGCGTCTTCGGCACGGCGGTGGAGGCGGCGGTGGCGTACGCGCGGCACGGTCGCCTACGCGCAGCAGTGGAGGCGGCGGTGGCCTACGAGGCGGCGGTGGCGCGGCAGCCAGAGGAGGGCGAGGAGGAAGAGGAAGAGGGCGAGGCACCGGCGCCGGTGGTGGAGGCGGAGGGTTTGCAGCTGCAGCCGGAGGCGGCAGCGGAGGAGGCGGTGGAGGTGGATGTGGCGGTGATGGTCGCGGTTGACGACGAGGAGGAGGAGGGCGGCGCGGTAGAGGCGGTGGAGGTGGTGGAGGCGGTGGCGGTGGCGGCGGCGCCAGGCGCAGCGAGGCCGGCGCCCACAGCAGCAGCTAGGGCGCCCGTGCTAGAGGAGGCGCAGGGGTTGCGGCTGCACTTGGCCGACAACAGCAGGAACCGGAGCGGCTACCGCGGTGTCGTTGAGCGAGGACCTGGTCGCTTCGAAGCATCCGGTACCATTGGCGGGCGACGCATTTTCGTTGGCTATTTCGACACGGCCTCACGGCCGCGAGTGGCAAGACAGCCGACTTGCGCATCGGTCGGCATTACTGTTTCCTGGCACACATTAGGCTGTGGAGGCGGCGGTGGCATACGCGCGGGCGGTCGAGGCGGCGGAGCGAGCGGCGGTGGAGCCAGTAGTCACGGTTCCAGCTGCGGAGCCGGCGGCTGGCGCGGCAGGCGCGGCAGGCGCGGCAGGCGAGCCTCGAGAACAGGGTTTGGCTTCCTCGCAGACGATCGTTCCGGTGACGGCGGCCGAGGGCTTTCAACTGCAAAGCCGCCCGGCCGACTCGAGCGACGACGAGATGGAGGTTGAGGTTGAGTCTGTGGAGTTGGTGGAGGCGGAGGAGGCGGGAGCGGAGGCGTCCCTCCCCGCGGCTAGCGGCGGGGAGCGGCGCGGTGGGCAGCAGGGTGGCGGGCAGCAGAGGGATGGGCATCGGAGTGGCTCGACGGAGGCGACGCGCGAGGGCGACCGATTGGAAGTGCGAGACTAGCTGAGATGGCCCGAGATGGCCTGAGATTCTCCGAGTTTGCCCGAGATCACCCGGCTGGAGGCGCAGGGCGAACGAAACCGCGGCCGAGATCGGCGAGGTCGGACCGAATTAGGCGGAGCTCGAACGTGCGCAAGGCCAGCTGCGCGACTGGCTCTCGGCGCCGGTGGTGGCGCCGGCGGAGTCGCAGGCGGGCCATGGGTCAGCCGCCAGCGTCGTGGGGCAGGAGGGCATGATGGCTGGGGCGGAGGCGGAGGGCGGGGAGGAGGGTGAGGCGGCGGTTGGGCTGGTGACGGAGTCCGAGGGCTACCGGCTGCACCTGTCCTCAACAGGCTCCACGGGCTACTTGGGTGTCTTCCGCCGCGAGGATTGCGGCAGACTCAAGTTTGTCGCGATGGTGAGCTTGCACGACGGGCATCGCATGCGGCTGACGTACCTCGGCGTCTTCCCCACCGCGGTGAAGGCGGCGGTGGCGGTCGCCAAGGCGAAGCTGCAGTCGTCCTCCGGCGGGCCTTCCTCAGCAGTCCAGGTGGGGCCTGTGCCTACAGCGCCGCCACGGCGGGCACCGCTCGTGGCTGAGGCGGAGGGCTTGCGCTTGCACGTCTCCAGCCGCAGCAACAACACCACCGGCTACACCGGCGTGGTCAAGCACGGCTCGCGCTTCAAGGCGCAGGACAGGCGGGACGGAAAGGCTGTCTCCCTCGGCACCTTCGACACGGCGGTGGAGGCGGCGGTGGCGTACGCGCGGGCGGTCGGGCAGGCTCCTGCCCAGGGGTCGGCTGCGGCCGGCAGCGAGGCGCTCGACTCGGACGAGGGCGAGGGCGAGGTGGTGGCGGTCGGCTCGGGCGATGGAGGGGCGGCGTTGGGCGGGCTAGCTGCGCTGCAGGCCAGAGCTGCGGAAGCATTGCATAGGATGGGCGGGGATCTCCCAAGGCATGAGCCGTGAGAGCGAGGCACCTGTCGCCGGGGGGCCGGGGGGACATCGATCTTTGTACCTCACGAGTTCCCTTTTTGTATTGCCCATGCACGTACACATGTGACATGTGTACTCACCACACGCGGTGGGGGAGCGGGCCGACCTGGGGTGCACTCGGCGTGCGCGCGCGCGCGCCGCGACGCCCACCGCGTCACTATCTCTTTATCTGTCTCGCGGTTATGCGACCTGGCGCTTGTCAAATCACACACAACGGACACAGTCCTCAGGACGACACCTCGGATGCAGTGACTTGCGCCAAGACTTGCCCCAAGACTTGGGCTCGGCAGCTTGTCAACTACCAGCCGTAGCCGGAGTCGGAACCGTAGCCGGGAAAGTCGTGAGATTTTTAGCAATACAATACCAAACAACTCACAAACACAAAACAACTCTAACACTCACACCGGGTGAAACAAAAACAAAAGAAATACACCAGGGTGCGAGCATGGAATCCGCACACTTTGTTGCACGCTCGTTGCAGACTTTCGAATTTGAAGTTACGCGCGCCCTTGTTGGCACTGGTTAATGATGCAAATTTTTACTTTTAGCCGGCGATTCACAACCCACACACAACACAACCCACCACAGCCCGCCATCGCATGTGTGTGTTATGTCTCGCATCATCGGCGCCAAGAGAGGCGACAAGGCGAAGCTGCTCGCGCTCACTCGCACCTCGAGCGTGGGCCACCTGCCCAGCGGAGGCGAGCCGGCGCTCAAGGTGACCGTCCTCGAGGTGTACGGCATGTGCTGCCAGTCCGAGGTCTCCCTCGTCCAGAAGAAGCTCGGCATTCTTCCGGGCGTGCAGTCGGTGCGCGTCAACCTGATGCTGCGCCAGGTGGCGGTCACGCACGAGCCAAACGAGGGGCTCCCCGAGCGGCTGGTGCGAACGCTCAACTGGGCGCTCCTCGACGCGCATATCCTCACCGACGGCGGCGGCGGCGGCACCCTGCTGCGCCGGGGGCGCCCGACTGGCCTCGGCTTGCTGCTGGCCGGCTGCACACTGCTGTTTGCGGTGTCGTTCGGGACGTGGGGTCGCGTCGCGCGGGGAGGCGAGGCGGGCCCGTGGTACGAGGACCCGTTCTCGTACTTTGCGCTCGCGTGCGCCGCGCTGGGCGCGCCGCTCCTGCTCGCCCGCGCCGCCGCCTCGCTCGTGTACGAGGGGCGGCTCAACATGTTTGCGCTCATGCCCGCGGCCTCTAGATGCGGACGGCGGATCCGCGTCTCCCGACTAGCACTCGAAGAGAGGCATTCGGCTGTACTCAGTCGCGCGCGAGCGAGCGGTGGAGGAGTCTCTGTTCCCGCCCTCAGCTCCTGCGCGGCATGTGCTCTGGCTCCTCAGTTCAGCCGCGGGCGTTCTTCACGCCCGTGGCGCTCATGCACCAGGCTCGTTGCGGTGGCGGGCGCGCTCGGGCTGCGGCAGCTGTGGGAGGGAGCGGCGATCGTCTTCTTCTTTGTCCTCTCCGAGGCGGTCCAGAAGTGGTGCGTGCACCACACGGCTCGCCAGGCGGGCGCCCTCGGCGGCCTGCTTCCGGCCGAGGCTGCCGCAGTCTAGCTGCGGAAGACGCACGCCTCCTCCCCTCCGACCCGCGCTCGAGACGACGCACGCGCAAATACCGCGCCCCCCTTGGCCCCTCTCGCCCTCGCACGCCCGCACGCGCGCGGCAGGTCTCCGTGCCGGGCGGCCCCGACAAGCCGATCGACGCGGTGGCCGCCGTGGTGCGAGAGGAGACGCGGCTGGCGTGCGCCCGCCTCCTCACACGCGCGGCGTGTGAGGTAGGTGGCGCTCGGGGAGGAGCTGCTGCTGCGGCCTGGCGGCCGAGTGCCTGTGGACGGCGTCGTGCTGTCCGGCCTCTCCTCCGTCGACGAGGCCGTCAGCTCACTGCTACTCGACTCCTAGCTAGCTACTAGTGAGCTACCAGTAGCTCCTCCGCCGGCGAGGCCGTCAGCTCACTGCTACTCGACTCCTAGCTAGCTACTAGTGAGCTACCAGTGGCTCCTCCGTCGACGAGGCCGTCAGCTCACTGCTACTCGACTCCTAGCTAGCTACTAGTGAGCTACCAGTAGCTCCTCCGCCGGCGAGGCCGTCAGCTCACTGCTACTCGACTCCTAGCTAGCTACTAGTGAGCTACCAGTAGCTCCTCCGCCGGCGAGGCCGTCAGCTCACTGCTACTCGACTCCTAGCTAGCTACTAGTGAGCTACCAGTGGCTCCTCCGCCGGCGAGGCCGTCAGCTCACTGCTACTCGACTCCTAGCTAGCTACTAGTGAGCTACCAGTGGCTCCTCCGCCGGCGAGGCCGTCAGCTCACTGCTACTCGACTCCTAGCTAGCTACTAGTGAGCTACCAGTAGCTCCTCCGCCGGCGAGGCCGTCAGCTCACTGCTACTCGACTCCTAGCTAGCTACTAGTGAGCTACCAGTAGCTCCTCCGCCGGCGAGGCCGTCAGCTCACTGCTACTCGACTCCTAGCTAGCTACTAGTGAGCTACCAGTAGCTCCTCCGCCGGCGAGGCCGTCAGCTCACTGCTACTCGACTCCTAGCTAGCTACTAGTGAGCTACCAGTGGCTCCTCCGCCGGCGAGGCCGTCAGCTCACTGCTACTCGACTCCTAGCTAGCTACTAGTGAGCTACCAGTGGCTCCTCCGCCGGCGAGGCCGTCAGCTCACTGCTACTCGACTCCTAGCTAGCTACTAGTGAGCTACCAGTAGCTCCTCCGCCGGCGAGGCCGTCAGCTCACTGCTACTCGACTCCTAGCTAGCTACTAGTGAGCTACCAGCAGCTCCTCCGCCGGCGAGGCCGTCAGCTCACTGCTACTCGACTCCTAGCTAGCTACTAGTGAGCTACCAGTAGCTCCTCCGCCGGCGAGGCCGTCAGCTCACTGCTACTCGACTCCTAGCTAGCTACTAGTGAGCTACCAGTAGCTCCTCCGCCGGCGAGGCCGTCAGCTCACTGCTACTCGACTCCTAGCTAGCTACTAGTGAGCTACCAGTAGCTCCTCCGCCGGCGAGGCCGTCAGCTCACTGCTACTCGACTCCTAGCTAGCTACTAGTGAGCTACCAGTAGCTCCTCCGCCGGCGAGGCCGTCAGCTCACTGCTACTCGACTCCTAGCTAGCTACTAGTGAGCTACCAGTAGCTCCTCCGCCGGCGAGGCCGTCAGCTCACTGCTACTCGACTCCTAGCTAGCTACTAGTGAGCTACCAGTAGCTCCTCCGCCGGCGAGGCCGTCAGCTCACTGCTACTCGACTCCTAGCTAGCTACTAGTGAGCTACCAGTAGCTCCTCCGCCGGCGAGGCCGTCAGCTCACTGCTACTCGACTCCTAGCTAGCTACTAGTGAGCTACCAGTGGCTCCTCCGCCGGCGAGGCCGTCAGCTCACTGCTACTCGACTCCTAGCTAGTTACCAGTGAGCTACCAGTAGCTCCTCCGCCGGCGAGGCCGTCAGCTCACTGCTACTCGACTCCTAGCTAGCTACTAGTGAGCTACCAGTGGCTCCTCCGCCGGCGAGGCCGTCAGCTCACTGCTACTCGACTCCTAGCTAGCTACTAGTGAGCTACCAGTGGCTCCTCCGCCGGCGAGGCCGTCAGCTCACTGCTACTCGACTCCTAGCTAGCTACTAGTGAGCTACCAGTGGCTCCTCCGCCGGCGAGGCCGTCAGCTCACTGCTACTCGACTCCTAGCTAGCTACTAGTGAGCTACCAGCAGCTCCTCCGCCGGCGAGGCCGTCAGCTCACTGCTACTCGACTCCTAGCTAGCTACTAGTGAGCTACCAGTGGCTCCTCCGCCGGCGAGGCCGTCAGCTCACTGCTACTCGACTCCTAGCTAGCTACTAGTGAGCTACCAGCAGCTCCTCCGCCGGCGAGGCCGTCAGCTCACTGCTACTCGACTCCTAGCTAGCTACTAGTGAGCTACCAGTAGCTCCTCCGCCGGCGAGGCCGTCAGCTCACTGCTACTCGACTCCTAGCTAGCTACTAGTGAGCTACCAGTAGCTCCTCCGCCGGCGAGGCCGTCAGCTCACTGCTACTCGACTCCTAGCTAGTTACCAGTGAGCTACCAGTAGCTCCTCCGCCGGCGAGGCCGTCAGCTCACTGCTACTCGACTCCTAGCTAGCTACTAGTGAGCTACCAGTAGCTCCTCCGCCGGCGAGGCCGTCAGCTCACTGCTACTCGACTCCTAGCTAGCTACTAGTGAGCTACCAGTAGCTCCTCCGCCGGCGAGGCCGTCAGCTCACTGCTACTCGACTCCTAGCTAGCTACTAGTGAGCTACCAGTAGCTCCTCTGTCGACGAGGCAGTCAGCTCACTGCTACTCGACTCCTAGCTAGCTACTAGTGAGCTACCAGTGGCTCCTCCGCCGGCGAGGCAGGCATCCCTTGCTAGCACCCCAAGCCCTTGGCCCCATGCCCGTACCGCGCAGCAGCCCTGGCGCCTGTCGCGGGTGTGCTCTGCGTCTTCTAGAGAGTCTCGCTCCCTCCTCCTCTCAGGCGGTCATCACCGGCGAGGCTGCGCCCGTCCGAAAGGGACCCGGCGACGTCGTGACTGCAGGGACAACCAACCAGACGGGCGTGCTGACGGCGCGGCGGGCGAGGCGGGCGGGAGGCGCCGCCGTGTGCGGCGGCTCTTCACGCTCCTCCGCTGTGAACAGGTGCGCGTCGAGGCGCTTCCCGCCGATTCTGCGGCGGCGCAGCTCACCGCGCTCGTCTCGGATGCGCAGAGCGCGGGCGAGAAGCGGCGGCGGCTGCCCGGGGTCGCGCGCTGCCAGGGTCGGCTCACGTTTCGAGCTGCGAACAGGCGGGAGGCGGGAGCAGCTGCTCGAGGCGTTTGCCAAATGGTGCCCCGCCCCTGGAGAGACGGCGATGCCTGACGCCGCAGTCCGCCCCTCATCCCCGCCCTCGCCCCCCGCCGCTCTCGCTTCCGCCCTCGCCGCCGCCGCCCTCGCACCCGCCAACGTTGCGCTGCCTCCGCCGCCGCCCACCCTCGCCGCCGCCGCCCGCCCCGCCTGTACCTAAGGTACTCTGGCAAGCACGCGAGCAGAAGTCTCACCAGTCACCAGTAGTGAACGCTGCACTGCACTGCCCCCCCCCGCCCCCCGCCCCCCCGCCCCCTCCCCCCCCTCCCCAAGGTACCTCGTCCTCCTCGTCTCCGCCGCCGCGCTCGTCGCGATTGTGCCGATGGCGTGGTGCGAGTGGAGCGGCGGCGACGGCGGCGGGGACTTGGTCGGGACCGCCAACCACACGCACGTCGGTGGGCATGTCAAGCTATGCCCACTCTGCGTGTCTACGGAGGCGGTCTCTGAGCCGTCTCGGCATGTCCCCTCCCCTGGCCCCGCCCAGGCGAGCCCGGCGCGTGCGCGACCTGGCTGCACCGCGCGCTCGCAATGGTGGTGGTGGCGTGCCCCTGCGCCCTCGTCGTCGCCATGCCAATCACATACGCCTGCGGCGTCTCGTCGCTCGCCCGCTGGGGCGAGAGAGCGGTGACCTTGTGCGCGGCGCAGCTTGGAGCGGCGCCTCACGGCGTGGTGTGCGTGCGACATAGGCGTGCTCGTCAAGTCCTCGCGCCAGCTCGAGCTGCTCGCCGCCGTCCGCACGCTCGCGATGGACAAGACGGGCACGCTGACCGAGGGGCGCTTCCGCTTCCACCGAATGGTGGAGTGGAGCGAGGCGGTGTGGCGCGAGGACAAGCTGCCGACGGCGTCTCTTCACGGCTGCATGTCTGTGGACAGGTGGTCGGCGAGGCGGCCGGCTCGACGGAGCGGGTGGTGAAGCTTGCAGCTTCGGTGGAGAGCCTCTCGTCGCACCCGGTCAGATGCGCCGGGGCCGAGAGTGGCCGAGAGGGGCCGAGAGGGGCCGAGAGGGGCCGAGAGGGGCCGAGAGGGGCCGAGAGGGGCCGAGAGGGGCCGAGAGTGGCCGAGATGCAGCAGCGTCGGCGGAGAGGTGGGACGCTCGTGCACCCGGTCGCACCCGAGCGTGGCTGCTCGGCCGTTTCGAGCGGGGGAGGAGGGGGGTGAAGGGGTTTGGGGGGGGGGGGGGGGTCCAAAGAGTTTTGGGGGGGGTGAGCGGACTGACCTGTTCGCGGACTGCTGCACGGCGTCAGGTTGCCGCCGCTTTCCTCGACTTCGCGCAGTCGCTCGGCGCCGAGCCAGAGGCGGTGGAGGGGTTCGCAACCATCGAGGGCGAGGGGGTGAGCGGCAGCGTGGGCGGCGTGCAGGTCCGCGCCGGCCGGCGAGGGTGTGCGAATGCAAGCGGCGTCTCTTCACGCCTCAGGTTGCGAGAGCAGGTCCACGTCGGGTCCGAGGTGCTGGCGCGGCGCGTGCTCGCGACCTCCGCCGCCACCGCCAGACGAGCCGCCCCGGCGGCCAGCGGGATCGAGGCGGGCGGAGGCGCGGCGGGCGGAGGTGAGGCGAGCCCGCTGCACGCGCACGCGCATGGCCACGTGAGCGGCGGCGGAGCGGCGGAGACGGCGCCCGAGCGCAGCAGCCACACTCACGGACATGACGCTGCGAGCGGTTGCGAGCACCCGCAAGGGCACGGCGGCGGCAGCTGCCCCCATCCGCACGGGCACGACAGCGCCGGCGAGTGTGGGCACCCCCACAGCTACGATGCCGCTGGCAGCTGCCCCCACCCGCACGGGCACGATGGCGGACACGACAGCGCCGGCGGGTGCGAGCACCCGCATGGCCACGACAGCGCCGGCGGCTGCGAGCACCCGCATGGCCACGACAGCGCCGGCGGCTGCGAGCACCCGCATGGCCACGACAGCGCCGGCGGCTGCGAGCACCCGCATGGCCACGACAGCGCCGGCGGCTGCGAGCACCCGCATGGCCACGATGACGCTGGCGAGTGTGGCCACGCGGGCCACGGCGGTTGCGGGCACGATCACAGCCACAGCTGCGGCGGCGGCGGCTGCGGGCACGATCACAGCCACGGCGGCGTCGGCCAGCCGCTGACGCTCGACTCGCGGCAGGCGGCGTCATGGCGCGGCGCCGGCAACACGGTGCTGTGGGTCCTGATCGACGGCGAGGTTGCGGCGGCGTGTCTCCTGTCGGACCGCGTGCGCTCCGACTCGGCCAAGGCGGTGCGCGCGCTGCACGAGCTGGGCATCACGCCCGCCATGCTGACGGGCGACGCGGAGCCCGTCGCGCGCGCCGTCTGCGCCGCCGTCGGCATCCGCGCGCCGCCCCGCGCCGGCGTGGCGCCGAGCGAGAAGCTGCTCGCGATCCGCGAGTGGGCAAAGGCGGGCCCGGTGGCGATGGTCGGCGACGGAGTCAACGACGGGCCCGCGCTGGCGGCGGCGGACGTCGGCATCGCGATGGGCGTGCAGGGCACCGCCATGGCTGCCGAGGCGGCGGGCGTGGTGCTGATGACGAACGATCTACGGAAGCTGGCGGACGCGGTGGTCGGGGCTCGCCGCTGCACCCGCGTCATGATGGTCTCCGTCGCGGTCGCTCTGGTCCTCAAGCTGGCCCCCTTCGCCTTCATGGCCGCCGCCGGGGCGGACCGCTACTTGATCGTCGTCGCCGTCGCCTCGGACGTGCTCGGGATCGCGTGGGTGCTGCTCGCCGCCATGTCGCTGCTCCACATCAAACCGCGCTATGCCGCATCGCCGTGCGGCGCAAACGACACCGTCAACACCGAGCTCACGCCGGCCAAGGAGGACGACGCCCCTGGGCCGGGCAAAGCCGCACCGCCAAGTCCAGCCGCTGCGGCGGTGCGGGTCTGACCATTCGCAAACGGATGGGTGGCGGGGCGAGGACCGCTTCCGCAGGCTACAGTACAGAGTGTTGTGTGCGTAACTGTGTGTTTTGTGTGTTTGTGTCATGTGTGAATGCCGCCGCTGCTACACAGCTTTAGTACCACACACGCCACACAGATCACAGTACACAGAGGCTAGTGCCATTTCCGACTGTGGCACAGGAGACTCGCGTTACAAAACCTTGATTTGACCATTTCGCATTTGCGCAAAAAGGTACCTCTCGCGCTCTCGGTGCCTTCCAGAGGCAGCTGCGACCCCGCCGAGTGGACGGTAACACACAGCAGGTGGCGCGGTGTGTTACCGTCCACTCGGCTAGATCGCAGCTGCCTCTGCGCGTCCTGGGGATGTACCTTTGTCGCGCGCCGGAGACGAGACTCGACGCCGCTGAGACCGGAGATCAAGCTCTGACAGGTCGCACGTCGCTCCTTTGACGCCGACGTGACTCCCCGTGCAGTCTGCAGAGCACATCAGCCTGATCATGAGGACACGGTCTCGACGCGCTCGGTACGACGCCTGCGACCCGTCTCGGGTCAGGTGGCACGACGCTCATCGCGCCTGCCAGCGCTGCCGTGCAGGCTGCCACGACGAGGTCGAGCACGCTTCTATACGCTCGCCGAGCCTTCCTTTCCATCCCATTAGGCAGCCTGGGAACGGTGGCGGTCAGAGGCAAAGCCTACGAGGGGTGGTGGAACCACATGTCACGGCTACTGCCGGCTCGACCCCACCGGATAGCCTCCGAAGGCTGACTTTGCGGCACCATCATCGGACGATCTTGTCGACGAGTTGGGTCGCTCTCGCGGTAGCCAGATGACCTCTCTTCCTAGGAGCATCGGCCATGGCCGCAGGGGGAGCGCGGGGGAGGGCGCTGGAAGCAACACGGAGCTCCGTTGGAGACGTTTTCAAGATTAGCGTGTCAGAGTGAAATGGCACTAGCCAGAATTGATGTATACGTTGGTATTAGACGTATATTTAACACAGAGATGCGAACAGTTAGAATTTTACAAATTACGAACAGTTAGAAGGTTCATGCCCGTTGTGTATGCACTACGGCTACGTGGGGACGAGTCCCGCGACAAAAGCCTATTATGTGTGTACGTCATTCATATCCCCATCTCCGACTCGTCCCGCTCAGGAGGTTTGGGCGCCCCCTCGTCGTCCGGCTTCTCTGGCGCCCCGCCGTCTGGAGCGGGGGGCGGCGGCGGGCCGGGCGGCGGGCCGGGCGGCGGCGGCGCAAACCCCTTCGCCATCACTTGGTCGAGGGGGATGGAGACGCGGGCGGTGCCGGGAACGGACGACTCGGGCGCGGATGCCGCCAGAGCCTTTGCGCGGGCGACCTTCTGGGCGAAAGCGGCGGCGGCCGCCGCCGCGCCGATCGGCACGGTCGGGACGGACGAGCGCGAGCCGGCGCTCTCCATGCTACCTCGGCCGCTGGGCTGATCGAGGGAGTAGCGCTGCTGCGAGCCGCGGCTCTCCTGGGAGATGCGGCCAGACTGCACTCCGGAGGCGCGCGCGCGGTCTCTGATCTGCTGCGCCTTGCTCTTGCCGGGATCCTCCAGCCTGAGTGAGGGCAGGGGCGGCGGTGGGGCCTCGGAGAGTGGGAGAGCGAGGGCTGTGGGTCGCTCGCCCGTCGGCGTCGAGGTTGTCCTTCATAGCCTCGATGAGCTTGTGAGGCTTTGCCCAGCTGGAGGCCATCTTGGCCGCCACGTCCTGAGAGGCGCCGGCAACGTGCGGCTTCGCCCACGCCATCGCGAGCTTCGTGCCCGGCTGTGCGTCCGCCGGCCGCAGGGAGTCACCGGAGCCGCGCTGCGACGCGCGCATCGACTGCAGCGCCACGGAGCCGCGGCGGAGGTCGCGCAGCACGTCGTCCTTGGTGAAGTTGTTGGTCTTGAGGTAGACGCTCATGATGGCCGCCACCATCGACAGCATTAGCTTGGGCCGCGCCTCGAGGATGTCCTGCCAGCCGCAGAAGACGCGGGCGCCCATCTTGTGCGAGGTGGAGATGGCCAGCTTCGCGTTCAGCTGCCGGTCGAGCTCCGAGCGGCCCGGCTTGATGTCGTCCTCCTTGATTGCCTTTGGCGCGACCGCCTTCATGAGTTGCAATAGAAAGACGCCGCTCTTGATGGCCGGGTCGCCAAAGCGAGACAGCTGGATGTCGGTGCCTCTGCGCGCAACCTGCGCGTTGGCCCACGTGAGCACGTGCGCTTGGTCCATGTCGAGCTCGTCGAGGAACTGCATAAAGTCCTTACGCATAAGCTGCCACCAGACGGCGAGCAGCAGCTTCTCGTTGCCCTCGGCGATGTCCTGCCCCGATATGCCCGTGAGCTTCAGCCCGAGCTCTTTGGCCATCTTGACGGCGTAGTTGCAGTTGGCCACCTTCTCGTACTTGTTCTTGGGCGTGCCCTTGACGCGATCCCAGTCGACGGAGCCCGGTTGCAGCCGCTCCATCACCTTGAGCAGCACGATGCCGGAGCACGAGTCGGAGAAGAGGTCCTTCATGTTGAGCTTGAGGCCGAGCGACGCCGCCCAGTTCTTGAAGACGCGCGCCTCGGCCGAGTCGTTGGTCTCCTCCTCGTACGTGTCGAGCTCGCCCTCCTCGCCACCTCCCGCGCCGAGCGCGTTTACCACCGAAGCGACGAAGCACTGCTGCATTCGAGGCCGCGGCTCAGTGAGGTCGCTGGGAGCGACCGCAAAGATCTTTGGACCCGCCGCCGCGATGGCGTGGTCGATGACCTGCTTTGCGCGAGCGTCGGGGCTTGCGCGCCAAAATAACTCTGGCAGCCCCTCGCCGGCGTTTGCGGCAGCAAGAGGCATCTGGACTGTCGTCGGCAGTATGGTCTGCTGTATCGGCATCGAAAGCGAGGTGCTACCAGGCGCAGCTCCAGGCGGCGGCCCGCCGCCTCCGCCTGCGGCGGCCGACTGCGGCATCAACACGGTCGACGGAACGCTTGCGGAGGCTGTCATCGCCGGGTCGCGTGTCGTCGCGCCCGAGGTCGCCCATGCGCCAGAGCTGGGACTCCCGGTGGCATTGGGCACGATGGGGACGGTGGGGAGGATGGTGTTACTGACGGAGAGCAGAGGCTCCTTGGCCGCCTGGTGCAGCGCCATCGCGAGCTGCGTCGTAATGTCCCCGTCGAGCGCCTCGCTGACGACGTGTTCGGTTGGCAGCCGCCGCCGATCCTGCGGGTGCTGCATGAGGTAGTCGTCGACGTGCTTGTTGACCCAGCGCGAGAGCAGCGCCTCCGGCGGCACTTGTCCCGGCTTTTCGCCGTCCTCGAGCAGCTGCGCCAGGAAGGGTACCGTCGCCGCATTGATCTTGGAGAGCAGCCCATTCTTGATGATGTTGTACGCCTGCTGCAGCGCTACTTGCTTGTTGTCGGGCGCGAAGAGCAGCTGCGTCTCGTGGATCTGCGGCACGGCTGCCCCGACCGACGCCGCGGCATTCACAAGCAAGGTGTGGTTCTCGAGCGCGAGCTCGGGTGCGAGGGCGGGGCCACCCGTCGGCGCCGCGTTGAGCGCGCGGAGGTCGATCGCGTCGGGCGCATTCTGTGCCAGGAGGCTGCCGAGCAGCTCGCCGTCGGCAATCTTGTGGAGCACTGCGTCGCCTAAGGGGTTGATTGGCCCGCGAGCGAGAACAGGCGCGTCACGCAGCACGTTGTTGATGTGGCTCACGAGGTCCGCCTGCTCCTGCGGGTCGAACGCCTCGGCCGGCGGGACCGACGCCACCGGCCCATGGTCGGGAGGGACCTCGAAGACGCTCGGCTGCTCTGGCAGGAGCTCCTCGGGCTCCAGCGGCGCCTCCTCCGTGCGCTCGCTCACGTACGCAGGCGGCTCCAGCAGCGGGTCTTGGATCGGCTCCTTGACCTCCGGGAAGGGATCCGGGAGGTCGCAGGCGTCGATCGCGATGTCTGTCTTGGGCACCTTGATGTTGCGCACAAAGAAGAGGGAGGCCGACATCCCGACGGGCAGCGCGAGTAGTGCCGCCCAGAGCGGCCAGAGCGCAGCCACGATGGCGGGGACAATGGGGTGGATGATGTCAGGCGGGACGATGCACGGCACGTAGGAGCCGTTGCTGACATTGTAGCCGGCAGCCTCAAGCTCCTCTTCGGTGGCGCAGATCGTCCCTGGGGCTCCCGGAGGCCACTGTGGCAGAGGGGGCGGCGCCGGCGGGGGCGGCGACGGTGAAGGAGGAGGCTTTGGCGCCTTGCCGGGCGGATACGGTGGGGGTCGGGGCGCCTTGCCGGGAGGGTGTGGCGACGGCGGGAGAAGTGGGGGAGTAGGTGGCGGGGGAGATGGCGAGGGTGGCGGTGGCGGGGGTGGCGATGGTGGAGCAGGTGGCGCCAAAGGCGGCTCCTTGTGGCCAGGCGGCCAGGGTGGCGGCGGTGGCGGCGGCGGTGGGGGTGCCGGTGTCGGCGATGGTGGTGGCGGCGGTGGCGGTGAGGGCAGCGGTGGCGGTGAGGGTAGCGGTGACGGTGGGGGTGGGGGTGGCGTGGGGACGGTGCTGCAGGGGGCGATGCTGGCAAAGTCGAGAGCGACATGTTGCAGGACTGTGCGAGTGCATTCATGACCAGCTTCGAACCTTGCAGCCCCACCGCGTAGTCCGACGCCGCGTAGTCGACGTCGTAGTCGTAGTCGTACGGCGGTTGCACTCATCGACGTCGGCCTGGCTCTGGGACGCCCCAATGGCGGCGAAGACGCAGGGCGAGCCTGTCGCGGTGATGCCACCGGGGCAAGAGCCAGGCTCACCGTCGACGCGGTAGGCAATGGTGGAGTAGTCGCTCCAGTCCGGGCTCGGGTCCGGGCTCTGAGTCTCAGCACGATTGTACCACTTCTGCGGTGAAGGGCGCGGCGGCCACGCCAGCGACGGCGGTGGCGGCGGCGGCGATGACATCAGCGCCGGCGGGGGCGTCTCAACCAGCTTCCGGGCCTTCCCAGCCGCGTCTGCGTGCCACGACTCGGGCACGTCGATACCGTTCACGGCTAAGACGGCCAGTATGGCGCCGCGTCCCCGAGCGGTGGCATCGGCGGACGGCTTGGTCAGATAGTACTCATCCGCCGTCGCGTTGCACTGGGTGGCGTCTAATCCAACACAAGCGGAAAATGCGGTCTCGTTTGCGGGACATACGGTGCAGCTCGGCGCAGAGGGCGGCGGCGGCGAGGGCGGCGGCGGCGAGGGCGGCGGCGGTGAGGGCGACGCGGAGGGCGGCGGCGGTGCAGGCGACCAAGCGCTGGTGCTGGGGACCATGATGGCAAAGATTGCGAGCAGTGGGGAGCGGCGAAAGCGGCCGAGGCCGGAGACGGACGCAGAAGGGAGGCGTGCGGTAGAGGTTGCGAGCAGCAAGGAGAACACACTGCGTCTAAGGCCCAGCTGGCGCAACGGGCGTGCCGCCTTGTTGATCTGCTGCCCCGAGGCCACTCCGGAGCTCCAATCGCTTAGCAGTAGCAGCAGCCCGCAAACATAGGCAAGGAGCAGGCGAGGCGAGATAGGCCACGGCGGGCGCACGGGCGGAGGCGAGGCAAGTCTGGGCGCTGCGGCCATCGACTGCCATGCCAGCGTGCACGAGCAGGTGTCTAATTCCGACACGTTGCACCCTGAAGGTGCTCCATGTGCTCCAGGGCAAAGCTCGCTCTGGAGGTCGTCCAGCCCCGCACACGACGTCGAGAGTGTTGATTCGTTCGCTGGACAGCAGCTCTCCGGTGTGCTAGCCAGCGGCAGCGACTCGCCCAGTAGGAGCAGCGACTTTGCTGCCCGCGGTTGCGGATGCAACGTCACCAATCTCGCCATTGATTGAGAAGAAGGCCGCGAGAAGGCCAACAACGGCCTCGAAGGAGGCCAGCAAATGGCACAGAAGGGCGATCCGCACGCCTGGAGTCGGGCGGCCAGAAGTGGGGCTTCCGACTCCGAACCCGAGCCACAGTTGATGCCTTTGCTACGCGCGGCGCCAAGACGCGAGCACGAAAGTTGACGACGGGCGCTTCCGCCGACAGGCGGGCTTCTGCCCCATTGACCCTAATGGTAAGGTAAGGTAACGTAAACTTCGCCACAGGGTAAGGTAAGGTAAGGTAAACTTCTCCACACACACGAGGTGGTGGGGCTAGGGGGGGCGACCCTCGCGTCTCCGTCTAGGCGGAAGGTCGTGGAACAAACAAGGAAGGGGGCCGCGCAACTCTTGGGCTCGGCGAGGTTTGCCTCTCGCACCCCGTCTGTTTTCCTTTCCTTTTTTCTCTACAACACCCTCTCTTTTCCTCTCTCTTTTCCCGGGAAAACTCCGTAGAAATCGTCAAATTTTGGGCTAAATCAGCCAAATTTTAGGCCAAATCGGCAAAATGCCGGGAATTTTGCGGAGAACCCGTGCATACCTGGAATTTACCCTGCGACCGCCTGGGTATTTTGTCGATTTCCTCAATTTTGCCTCAGATTTTGCCCCAGACCAGCTCTCCGACTCAGGGAAAACAGCGAGTTTCCAGAATGGAGCACCAAACACCCTCTGTTTTCCCTGGAAATTTCCGGAAACGCAAAGTGCTGGGGACCCTCTGTTTTCCTTTTTGTTTTCCGGAAAACCTCGCCGAGCCCAACGCAACTCCACGTCTAGACGACATACCTACAACGTCTAGAAGACGGGAGTCCCACGGCATTAAAAGTGCAAGGCCCAGCCAGTGCGCGTGCGTGGAACGGCTCCAGCGTCCAGGCCCGGCATGGCGACGCCTCGGCCCTCGCGGAGTCGGAGGCCGACATGGGTAAGGTAAGGTAAGGTAAGGTAAACTTCTCCACACACACGAGGTGGTGGGGCAAGGGGGGGCAACCCTCGCGTCTCCACGTCTAACGACAGGAGCCCCACGGCATTCAAAGTGCAAGGCCCGGTGCGCGTGGGTGAGCGGTGTGTGTGTGTGTGTGTGTGTGTGTGTGTGTGTGTGTGTGTGGTGTGTGTGTGTGTGTGTGTGTGTGTGTGTGTGTGTGTGTGTGTGTGTGTGTGTGTGTGTGTGTGTGTGTGTGTGTGTGTGTGTGTGTCACGTCACTGCATCCTCTGCCGGTTCCTCCCGTCGCCTCTTCTTTGTTCGAATGTTTTTCAATCCATCCTTCACGAAGCCCTCCCGTGTAGCTAGCGTTCTTTGCGAATGTCTCGAAATGGCCAGCAGGCGCTGTCTGCTCGCGACCTGTGCGGGCCGCTCGTCCTCCTCGCCCTTCATCTTTCGTCCTCCTGTCCCTCCCCTCCACCATGGCCTTCTCGGCACTTCTTTTCTCCATCCGCCTCGCCCTGCCTTTTCGTATCGTGCCGTTCGCCCTCCATTCGGTGACCTCCATGGCCGTCCGTCTCCTTTTGGGTGGCGCTCTCGATACCGTTGCGTCAACCTCGACGTCGCTGTCGCCCTCCCCGTCCCCGCCGTCGCCCGTGCCTCGGTTCGCGTCATCGGTAGCACCTCCGTTGTTCCCTCGTGCTCCGCCGTCGCCCTCTCTGCTCGGGCCGTTCGCGATTTCGAGCTCCTCCTGCGTGTCGCCCCTCCGTCTCCTCTCCCCTGCCTTCGTCGCATGGCCCCATATGGCCTTCTCGGCACTTCTCTTTATCTCCATCCGCTCGCCCCTGCCTTTTCGTATCGTGCCGTTCGCCCTCCATTCGGTGCGCCGCCTTCCATGCAGGGGCACCACCTGGAGGGAAGAAAGCAACACAGGCCCGGAGGCACTCTGATACACACAGACACACTCCAAGACCAGCCCGAGGACCAGCCGAGCGCCAGCGCTCTTTCTCTCAGTCTCACGCTGCCCGCCCCTGCACCCCCCTCACCCGCCCATTGCCCCCGCGATCTCGTGCGATCTGATCCACGCATTGATGGCCATCTTGACAGTGGAGGGCTGCAGCGGGGGGAGGCCCTGGTGCAGCGAGCGCGCGTCCTCGGCCCCGCCGTCGAGGCAGTCGTTGAAGACGATTGCGGAGCCAGCCTCGGGCGCCACGACGAGGCCGAGGTCGGGGAAGCCGGTGCCGCCGCCCGTCTCGCCCTCGGGCATCCCGACCAGGTAGATGAGGAAAGTGACCTGCCGCCGGCCGCTCGACTGCTTGTCGCCCACATCGCAAATATCGAAAAAGTCGTGGTGCCCCTCGTACTTTTGGCCCTGCTGGTACCGCACAACCTGCAGCGGCTCGATCTCGCCCTCGCGGTAGCCCGAGAAGCGCGCGATGCGCCGCCGCACGCGCGCGACCACTTGGTCGCTCGAGTGGGGTGCGCCGAGAAAAGCCGTGGTTGAGGTGCGCACGCGTGTCACTGAGCCGCGCACGGGCGAACGGCCTGCCGGGGAAGGTTCCGAGAAGGGTCAGGGGCGGCTCCGCGCCCGTCAGCGGCGCCGCGGGCGGGCCGGGGTGCCGAAGAGCGGCGTCGAGAGGCGGACGAGGTGCTCGCACTCTGCCGGGGAGAGGAAGGCGTGCAGGTAGCGGATGCGCGGAGAGAATGCAATGTGCTCCACGACGACCTCGTGTGTGCCCGCCGCCGCGCCGCCGCCCGGCGCCAGCTCGGCTGGCGCGCGCCAGAAGCCGTGAGGCACACGCGGCGTCCAGCCGCGCAGCGCCGTGCTCGCAGAGTACTCCGGCCCGCCGTCCTCCGTCGCCCAGCGAGACCAGTGGAGCCGTGACCACGGGCTGGCTGCGCGCCGCGCCGCGCGCCGCTTGCCGATCCGCGCGCGGAACGATCCAGCGGGCGAGGCGGCGCAGAGGCCGCGCGCCTCGAGCGAAGTTGGGCGCTCTCCCGGCGGCGTCGAGTAGAAGCCGCCGACGCGCGGAACCGGCCCGGGAAGGTCGATCAGCGGAGACAGCTTCGCCCTCCGGTGGGGCACGTGGAAGCGCATCAGCCCGCCGACGTCGAGCTCCGAGCAGCTCTTCAGGCAACGCGGCAGCACCGCCGCCGCGTGCCGCTCGCACTCGCCCGCTGTGGCGCGCGCAGCGCAGTCGCTGTCCTGGTCGGCGAGCGCCTGTGGGGAGACGTCGCTGTCCTGGACATGTGCATGTGCATGCACATGTTCATGGGCATGTTCGGTCTCTGATCGGGCGAGCGCCTCGCAGCGGAGAGCCCTCTGGCACTGCACTGCCTCCGAGTGATTCCCGCAGATCCGCTGGATGTGACATGACGCCGCGCACTCCTCTGCAGCCTTGGCCGCCTCCTGCTCGCACTTGCCCGAGAGGGCAAAGTTGACGCACGCGTCGGACGTGTCCTGCAGGATCCCCTTGTGCTGTGTGGCAAAGGCGGCGCAGCTCGCCTTGCACTGCTGCAGCATGAAGGCGGGGTTGCGGAAGCACTCACCGTCACCCACCCACGCGGCGCAGTCCTGGTGCAGGTCGGTCACGCGGTTCGCCTTGCGGCACGACGCGCCGCACTCGCTCAGCATGAAGGCCGAGTTTGCCTCGCACTCACCCATTGCCGCCCAACTCGGGCAGTTGACGGGATCGTTGTCGGGAGGGCCGGAATCCGCCTCCTCCTCCTGCCGCGCCGCAACAGCCGCCCAGCGCGCGTCGCAGGCGCGCGGGCACTGCCGCTCCATCAGCGCCTTATTGTTCTCACATTCGCCGTCCGCCACCCACGAAGCGCAGGTCTCGGTCTCCGACGCCGAGTGAGTGGGGAATGCTCTGTCGGCCGTCTGCTTCCGCGGCGCCCGAGGCGCCGGCTCAGTCTCCGCAGAGGGCGAGCGCGTGAGCATGAAGGTGCCGATTATGGCGAGTGCGACTGCAGCCGAGTGCAACACCCAGCTTGTGGGCAGCATTCCCTTGTTCCTTTGCCGAGCCGCCGCGGCGGCGGCAGGCTTTAGCTTGCTCTTCCCCATGTATGCCACCGCGGATAGGTTTGCTCTGGCGGAAAAAAAAGCGCGGAGGTGTCTAGATACCGACTGCACTCCAAGTGCTCCAAAGCTAGACCTCGCACCCGCCGCAGATTTGCCGCAACAGCATGGCGACGACCCTGCAGGGGGGGCTGCGGGTCAGCGGGGGCTATGCGCGTGCGCGGGCTGCCAGGTCTCGCGGGCGGAGCTCGCCTGGGAGGGTTGAAGAGCCAGGACTGGTGGATCCCAACCAACGTCGTCGTGTCGACGGGCGCATCGGGGACGGGCACCTCGAGCGCAAACTCGGCCGCCGACTGCAGGTCGGCGACCTGGTAGCCGTGCAAGTGCAGATTCTTGACCAGAAAGATGTCCTCCTGCTCCTTGTCCGCCGACTCGTTGCTGTGCTTCTGGCACACGTCCGCCATCGCCGGCACGCTGCGGATCGACAGGCCGCCGTTGCCGACGCGGTAACGCCGATCGAGCGAGGGGATGGGAAGTTTTTCCTCGTTGACACCCTTGTAGGCGTCATTATGCGGATGCCACGGCGCCCCCACCCAGTCCCACCCAAACATGCGCATCGGCACCTGCGAAGGGAGATAGGAAGAGGCAGACGACCAAGGAAGGGTTAGGGTGGGCGACGGCTAGCACCACACTCCTCTCCTTAAAATCCCTGTGTGGTGGCGGCGTGCCGTCCTCCCATCCGCATCCCTCTCTTGCGTTGTCTGTTTTCTTTCTTTTCTTTTAGGCCTGTGTCCCTGATCGTCCTTACAAGATCCTGCTCGTGCAGGTAAGGACCCTGTCCTTCTCCCACCCCTCGTTTGGTGGCCGTTTTATTATTTTATACAGACAGGCTCGGACCCTGGCGCGTGCGTGCAGCACTAACACAGGCAAACCAAAAAGAACCAGCGAACTCTCCCTCACAGCAGACGTGCTCGACACAGCTCTCTGTGAGCTCACACGTCACACCGGTGCGACGGCAAAAAGAAATGAGAGTTTCACAACAAAACTCCCTCGCACGGTGTCGCGCGGCACCCGAAAACACCGTGAGCAAAAAGAAACTTCTAAATAAATAAAGAAAACGGTCAAACTCTGAGACGAGATGGGATTTAGGGACGTGTGTCCCCGCCCTGCACGATCTTGGTGTGAGGGATCTTCAATCCGTGTCCCCTCACCCCTCGTCACAACCCGACACGGAAGAGCGGCAAGAGTTGGGGCTGCGGCTACGGCTGCGGCCACGAGAGGGGCCGGGGTCGCGGGAGAGCCGCTGCGCCGCGTGGACGCGCCTACACCGCTCTTGCTCCGCTCGCCACCTCTCGCAAAGGTCCAAAGTCATAGCCATCACCTCCTCCGGCAAGTCCTTTTCGCCTATCTTGCCGTCCCTCCAATCCTGGAAGAGCTCGTCGTCATAGCCGTATTGCATCACAGCCTGCTGCACTGCGTCGTGTACAACCCCTGCCACCCTATCCCGCGCCTCGGCGTCGGAAAAGTATTGGTCGAGCTCGGAGTCATACTCGGAAGCAGGCGCAGACGGCCGCGGTGATTTGGCAGGCGGCGAGGAGGGGGAGGGGGAGCGCGGCGGTGCGCGCTCGTGGCTCCCGCTGGTGCCAGAAGGGCCAGCGCCCAGCGCGCTCAGCCTGTTCTTGTTCACCTTGGGAGAGGGGGGTGGGGGTCCACCTCCCTTGGGTGTGGGCTGGCGGTCAGGCTTGCGCTTGACCGCCTTGCCCGGCGGCTTGCGGCCATGGTTCCTCATGGTGAACCGGTAAGAAACTTCTAGAGTTGAACACTACGTAAATTGTCGGGGAGGCCGAGCAATCGCTGCCGGAGTGGCCACAAAGAGCCCGGCGCTTCCACACAGGACACAGCCACGGACGACCACGGGAGAAAAAAAGCAATCAAAGGAGGACAGGACTCAGGAGCGCCCCCGTTCGCGTTTTCTCATGTCACATGTGGATGTGTCATGATGCACGACTTTATGTAGGCGCAGCACCTCCCTCCCGCCAGTGGCAGTGCTTGCGCAGCGCAACCCCCACACGTACAAACGAATATCTCGGCGGCGCGGCGCTATTTTAGGACATGTGCTGCGAAACCCACGCTGCCACCGCCATGCCCGGCTCACGCCCGACCCAAGAGAACCAGCGGAGCAGCCCTCGAGCCATGTCGGCGGGGCGGTTTAGCGCAGCGAGAGTCTCTGCCGCGCCGTCATCGGCGCCGCCCGCGGCTGCGGCCTCGATGGCTGCGACGGTGGCGGCGGCGCAGGCGTGCGGCGTGGCGGCGGCGCAAAAGCCGCGCGCCTCCTCGAGGCTCGTGCAGCAGAGGGGCGACAGGCGCGCCTATCGTCCGCCGCGGGCCAGTGTGCTGAGGGCTCGTGCTGCCAGGGCGCGAGGGTGTTGGGGTGTTGGGGTGCGGGGGTGGAGGGGCACGGGGGGTGCGGAGCGGCCCCGCGCCTCTGCCTCCTCTGGTGGTGGCATGCCATGGCACCGCGCCGCGACTCCCGCTGCGACGAAGTGCCGCATCGCGGCTTGTAGCCGCCGGTATCGCGCCACGCGTGGCGAGCCGTCGTCGGTGACGAGGATGCCGACCGGCTGCCGCACAGGGTGGGGCGGGAGTGGAGTGGAGGGACGGGCGGGGAGGGGCGGGCCTGGAAAGGGAGGGCCGGGAGGGGCGGGCGGGGAGGGAGGGCGGGGAGAGGACGGTCTGTCTTGTCTTCGCCTCGAGGTGGTCCGACTCTCGCGCGAGGAGCACGCAATCTCCCGCAATCTCCCGCAATCTCCCGCAATCTCCCGCTGTCTTCGCCTCGAGGTGGTCCGACTCTCGAGCGAGGAGCACGCAATCTCCCGCAATCTCCCGCAATCTCCCGCAATCTCCCGCTGTCTTCGCCTCGAGGTGGTCCGAATCTCGCGCGAGGAGCAGCGACGTCGCGTGGTCTCCGGGCGCGCCCCACGCAGCCGCGGCGAAGGCGAGGCTCTGCGAGGGCGGCACCTGTTCTCCGCCGCCGCCGCGTGAAGAGACGCTTCTCTGGGCCCTCCCCAAAGCCGAGGGGAAGCGAGGGCGGCACGTCGGTGTCGCGGTCGCCGTGCACCAGCAACACGCGCGGCGCCGCGGCGAGGGGAGGGAGCCGCCGCAGCAGCGAGACCGGGCACGCGGCGGCCGCCGCCTCGTGCTGCAGCCCTGCCCCCGGGGCGGCGGGCTCTTTGGCCGTGTGGCCGAACCTCCAGAGCAAGTTCGGGACGGCGTCGTGAAAGTCGGAGAGGCCCTCCTGTGCGGCGGAGACGAGATCGCAGACCGGGGCGATGGCGAGCACGCCCGCGACGCTGATGGCGGGGTCGACCCCCGCCGCCACCACCTCTGCCAGTGCGGGCCCGCCTAAAGGCAACACCAGCACACGCGGCTCCCGAAGGCCTCGTTATGCCCCATCGCTGCGTGCCCGCATCGAGGCACGGCGCGCCGTCGCTGCGGCCGACCACCTCGCCGATGGCCGCGCGGCGCACCTGCGCGGGGAGGGCGGAGAGGAGGCCGAGCCACAGCGCCTACGCCGGCAGCGGCGCCGTCAGGCTGCGGTTCTTCCGGTTCGGCAAACTGCTCTGTCCTCTGGCAGCGCGCCATCTGGCCTCCGGCGGAATGGCCGGCGAGAAAGACGGAGCCGAGGTCGAGCCGCGCCGCCGCTGCGCCGGCCGTGCCATCCTCACCGCCAGCCCGGTGCAGCGAGGCCACCTCGTTGACCGCGGCGAGGACGTCGAGCTGCGTGCCCGGGAAGCCGCCGCCGCCCTCGGAGTTTGCCGGATCATCCTGCGCCACCCTGGCGTATTCTACGCTCAACGTCGCGACGGGTCCGAGCGGCGACGCTGCCGCAACCTCGGCGGGCGGCGACGTGAAGGTGGCCAGGAAGGCGGCGGAGCCGGTCGCCTCGCGGGTCCACTCTGGCTTCCAGAAGCCGCCGTGGAGGTAGACGAGGAGCGGGAAGGGGCCGTCGCCCGCCGGGACGTGAAGGATCGCGTTGTGTGTCTCGCTGCAGCTCGCGGCGGCGGATGAGATCGCGACCGAGGCATAGCTGATCTTCTGGTCGCACATCTGCCAGCCGTCACACCGAGCCTCCGGAGGAGCAAAGGACGCCCGAGAAATAGCGCACCGGGCCGGGCAAAAACAAACACGCTCCCCCCGCAATTGCGCGAGCGAAAGTTAGACGCCGTCGCCAACTGTATGTTGGTAGCCGCTCTGCACCGCTCGCTGCTGGAGCGCGGTTGATCGCGGCGCCGACGCCCACAACGTTCTAGGCCCACAACGCCCTCTATGGGTCAAGGGCGCCTAGAAGAAAAACGCGAAGCCGGACCGACCACAGGCACAGCCAGCTCCCCGCCGCTGTAAGAACCATCGCTGGCAGCTCCCGGATTCGCTGCCCCCCGGCTGTACATGCATGCGCCTCCTGTCGGCCGCAATGACACTGTCCGCCGCACCTTTTCGCCACAGCTACTGCTCTGCACGGCATGCGCCTCTGATCATCGACACTGACTGCGGCCTCGACGACCTGGCAACGCTCGTCTTCGCTGCAGCGACGGCCACGCCGATCAGCCTCGTGACGACGACGTCAGGCCTGGCTCCGCCCGGCCGTGGTCACTCTCTCGCGCGGAGCATGCTCGACTACGTCGGCCTGCAGGATGTTCGCGTGGTCGCTGGCGCCGAGATGCCACCGCCAGGCGTGGTGCGGGAGAAGGCGGAGTGGGAGATGACGTATCAGCAGCGCGTCGCCGATGTCACAGCCGCAATGGGGCTGAGGGAGGCGGCAGCGGAGGCGGAGGTGGTGGACGCCGGCGACGCCGGCGCAGCCGCTGACGCGATTTTGTCGGCCGCCCGTGAGTCTGGCGGCAACGCCACCGTCCTTGCACTCGGGGCACTCACAAACGTAGCGCTGTCGTCGCGCCGCCACGGCTCCGACTTCTCGCGCCTCGTGCGGCGAATGCTGACTTCGTCGGTGGCACGCCTCGAAGTGCCCTTCCCTGAGCCTTCCTAGCGCCTCTCTCTTTAGGCGCGTGGTGTTCATCGGCGACACCGACCCGTCACGCCACTCGTACAACGTCGCGCTCGACCCTGCGGCGCTGCGAGAGGCGTCCAGCGCCGCCCCACGCCGCCCTCACAGCCACACGGCACCTCCGCCCACGGCGGCGTCCGCGACCCGTCCACGCCAGGTGCTCGGCTCGGGCGTCGAGGTCGTGCTCGTTGGGCAGGCGTGCTACGCGAAGCCGGCGTGGGTGAGCTCCCTCTTCGCTGAGTGTGGCGGCGGTGGTGGAGGCGGCGGCGGCGATGGAGGCGGCGGTGGCGGCGGCGGTGGTGGCGGCGGTGGCGGCGGCAGCGGCGATGGAGGCGGCGGTGGTGACGGCCGCGGCGATAGCGGCGCGGCGTGTCGCGCACTGCGCATCCTCGGGGGCAGGGATCCGTACTCGATGTGCTACGACCCACTGGCGCCGCACTCCCAGCCGCTTCTTTCTCTCAGCCGCTCTCTCCCACATGCACATCGGCATCCCCTCGACATTCGCCCCCACAGGCGCTCCTCTACCACCTGCAGCCGGACGCCTTCGCCGGTGGCGAGGCGCGCGTGCCCGTGCGCGTGAGCGGCGACACGTCGACGGCGGCCGGCTGGCGGTTCGAGCGCTGCAGCCCTTTGGAACCAGTGGATGAGGGCGGGGGTGGGTCGGCCCGCCCTCCGAGGCCCGACGGCCACGTCATCGAGCTCGCCGGCGTCAGCCTGGAACGGTACGCCGAGTTTGTGCGCAGCGCGTGCACTTACCGTGGTTGAAAAACGTACTGTGTTCACACTTGTCTGTCATGGCGAAACAACAGACTCAATCGCCGGGCTATCGCTGCCAAGCGCGAAACTCGCCCACCTCTGCGGGCTGCCCTGTCCTCTTGCTGGGCGCGAGGACGCGGCCTGAGTAGGAGAGGCCGACGTACTCGTCCTCGCGCACGGTCCCGTCAAACGTGAGCGGCGAACTTATCTTGTCCTCCACTGCGAGGCAGCGCCGGAAGGGTGAGAAAGGGCCGGACCGGGGTCGGGAGAAGGGGACGTGGCGGCTTCGCAGGCGGCGCGCGCGCACGGTGGCTCGACAGGCGCCGCCGAGCGTCCTCCGGTCGCGCGGTGCGGATGTGTGCGGCGGTGGGAGCGCACTCGTCACGGTCAATCGCCAGCCAACCTTGCCGCCCTCGCGAGGCGCCGCTCGCCACCCGCGCCCGCGGCTAAAGCTGCGCGCCGAGCCCTCGGCCGAGCCATCCGGCAGCAGCTCGACCCACGTCTCCTCCGCTCCCGAGTACGACGAGCGGACCTCCCACCCACCCGCCAGCTCTGATGGCAGCTCTGCTGCGCGTGCGTGCTGCTCCTCCTCCTCCGGTCTCATCGGCGTCCCACCAAAGCGGGCGACACACGAGACGGCGCCGCCGCGTGGCGACAGGCGTGCGCGAGGCACGCGTAGGCCGTCGCCAACGGCGAGGAAGGCGAGGAGCAGGGCTCTTGCAGTCATATTGGACGACGCGCGACAGCGGGCCCAAAAAGAGAATTTTGCAACCCGAGAATTTTACACAACACTGGGAAAAGAGAATTCAACCTTCTTGTTTTTTCTTTCCGCATATCTCCCGCTCGCATTTCTTTCTTTCCGCAATTCTTTCCTCTGTCGTGAGAGGGAGCTTGATTAGAAAATTCTTTACTCTGGGGGAAAATTCCTACTCTTCTGCCGAACCTGTAACCGCCTCTCCCCGCTCGACTGAAAAATGCGCGATGCTTTCGAGGACGAGGTCGAAGATGAGGTGGGGGAGGAGATTCTGACTGACTGAGGACACACGGCTCCTCCAGCTTTCCCGGCACGCCACCCGCCTCGCGATCTGAAGAGAAGGAGAGATCTGGCGCGGCCAGTTACGCTGAAAGGGAAAAGAAATTTCACTCACGAACCCTGCGCCTCAGTTGACCACAGCCAGGGGTTGTGCGCCTCCTGCTCGGCTCCAGCCAGTAGACAAGTATTGTCCAGAGTAGAAGGATCTGACCTCGGGGCCGATGTGATCAAGCGCTGGTAGCGTGGTTTTACCTCACACCCATGGTCTCGCAGTGATGTGTGCCGGCAGTCGCCGAGCAGTGTCGCTCACACAAGCCGCAGCACAGGTGACTGAGGGCCAGTGAGGGCGAGCCCATCGCTGTCACAGCTGTGGCAGCCGCACAGTAGGCTGTGCCATCTGTGCAGAGCGTGTGAGAGCAGTGGAGCTGCTCTCCAGGCTTCTGTCGCAAAGAGCTGCATGCCACCGAAGCGCGAAGGCGCTGTCGAGGTTCGCCGAGCGCGGCGCAGGTTGGAGGAAGCCGCCACCGACGAGCGCGTTGGACTTTTCACTCTCCGGACAAAAAACGCGGCACAGCGGACGGTGCGGGGCGTGCCGCCGTCATAGCGGCGAGGCGCGGGACCGTCTGTGGCGAAGTGGGTCGCGTCCTCCGATTTCCGTCAACTCACGGTCCTTCCCCCGTACGGCGCGATATGCGCGCTGACCGCTCTCCGCTGTCGTGCGGACCCGCTGTGCCGGGGATGGCGCACATAGAAAATGAAATCTGTGAGCCAGAAGCGACTCACAGCCCTCCAGCCGAGCAACTGTGTGCGAGACGACCGGCGGCCAGGGCTACGTGACCTGCCCCGCGCCCTTTCGGCGGCGCGCGAAGGCGCGCATTCTCCTCGCGGAGCGCGGCGTTCTCCTCGCGCAACGCAGCAACCACCTCCCGCCCCGCCTCGATCAGGGAGCGCACCTCGTGCCGCTGCGCCTCGAGCTCGCGGATGAGCTCGACCTGCGCGCGAGCCGCGCCGGGGAGCGAGGCGTGAGTGCCTGCGGGTCGGAAGCTGTTATGTGAGGGTGGTGGCCGCAGCGGTGGAGATTCCTAGGGGGCGGCGAGGGTGGCGGCGAGGGCGGTGGAGGTGAAGGCGGTGGCGGCGAGGGAGGCGGCGAGGGAGGCGGCGGCGAGGGCGGCGGCGGTGACGGGCTGACGGCGGCGGCGAGGCGGCGGCGGCGACGGCGGCGGCGGTGAGGGTGGTGGCGAGGGTGGCGGCGAGAGCGGTGGGGAGCGGTGGCAAGGGTCAAGCCAGCGGTGGCAAGGGTCAAGCGGACGCAGAGGGCAGCCCCCCCCCCCCCCCCGCCCGACGCGCAGCCGACGCGTGTCCGGACACTGGTCACTGCACTCTGTGCACTCCTCTTTTAGATTATACACTACATAAATTCATAAAACCCAGTATGCCCGCGCACCATCGGGTTTATAGAGGCATGATTAGAAATTTAACACCTGTGATTGAGGACATGAACAACAAGTCCAATTAGCAGAGAAGCATGAGCTGCACAGTGCCATCTCATTCAGTGCCCCCCCCCTCCCCCCATCCCTCTGCCTCCCATAGGGCAGGATAGCACTAGCATATGCGCCTAGTGCGCACTGGGCCCACACAGATGTGACCCGCCCACTCGAGTGCGGCGCCCGGATGCCAGTGCTTGTGAGAGGACACCACAAACGCGGCACGGCCCGTTTTGGCTGTCTGCGGAGATTCTGTCTTAGCACACACAGTGAGTCATTCGGAGTCATTCGATGGTCAGAGTGCGATTGTGTGTGTGCGGGAGTTGGTTTGTCGGGAGGGAGGGGCAGGCTGCTCACACCCCCGCCACGTGCACCGGGCCAGTGTGCTTGCACTTTGTGCGAAAAAATGCCGTGGGGCCGCTCCTGCCCGTGTCCGGGTGTGGAGATGCGAGGGTCGCCCCTTGCCCCACCACTTTGTGTGTGTGAGACGCGAGGGTCGCCCCTTGCCCCACCACTTTGTGTGTGTGGAGAAATTTACGGCTTTACCTTACCTTAATCATTCAGTGGTGTCTCCGCCATCGAGCCCGAAACCGCCACCGCCGCTGTCGCCCTTTGCCGCGACGACGAAGCGCTCCATCATGCACAAGCTCGACGGAGGGATACGCCGCCCAATGGGCGCAAAGAACGCTTCGTTTGCCTCGCCGGCCGACTCGTCGCGCTCCGCCCTCCACCGGCCGTGCGCAGCGAGCAGCCTCCCAAAGGGCCCCATCGCAGCTCGGCCGCCCGGCGGGGGCGGCGGCCAGGAGGAAAGCCACGGCTCGTTGGCGCGCTCGGCAAAGGCGGCAACCCGGGCGAGCGCGTGCGCCGGGTAGCCCTCGCCGCACGCCGCCGCGGGGTCCGTGTGCACCCTCGCGTCGACGTACGAGGCGACGAGGCGCGAGCCCGGCCCCGTCGCGCGGCCGAGCGCCTCGAGCGTCGCCGCCACGGCCTCGGCCGGCATGTACTGCGTTAGGCCCTCGACCGTGACGACGGTGGGCGCGGCTGGGTCGTAGCCGGGGTGCGCGCGCAGCGCGGCGTCGAGCGCGGCCTCGCTCAGGTCGAGCGGTAAGTAGACGATTCGGCCGCTGGCCGAGGCGGCGCGCTCGCTCTTCCGCGCCGCGCGCTGTGCCTCGGCCATCAGCCGCCGCTTGGCCGCCTGGACGGACGGCTGGTCTACCTCGTAGACGCGCACGTGCGGCGGGATCGGCAGCCGGCTCCCGCGCGTGCAGAAGCCGGCCCCGAGGATGAGCAGCTGCGTGCACGGCGTCCTCGCCTCGCCCGGCGCGGTTGGCGCGCAGGCCCGGACCACCTCGTCGTCGAAGAGCCGCGTGCGGGCCACCATGAGCTGGACGTAGCCCGGGCACGTCAGCGCGTCGCTTATCGCCTGCCGCAAGCCGTGGCCGCTGCACCGGAGCAGCCAACGCGGCGTCCGCCAGCCGGCCATCGCGGCGGCGTAGGGGTCGTCGACCAGCCGGAGCTCGGGAGGCAGCATCGACTCGATGTCGCGGGCCTTGGCGACGCCACGGGCGGTGCCGGAGGTGGTGGGGGCGGCCATATGTGTTACACAACCGCTGCACAAGGGACAAACACCGACATCCTCGCGAAGGCTCGTGTTTCTTTTTCAGTGTACTAGCTATGGGGCTCGCTAAACGCTCGCCGAGCTCCATGCTGTGCAACACCACCTCCTCACTAATCGTCAGGGGCGCGGAGAGCGCAGTGCACTGCGGTGAGGCTGCGCAGCGGGGGCTCGCCCCCTGCACCGCGCTCAGCGGCACAGGGGAGGGCGGTCGGTGGCGGCGGCGGCGAGGCGCGAGGCGGTGGCGGCGGTGGTGCGGGCGGCGGGATGACAGGGGAGGCGGCGGGATTGACAGGGGAGGCGGCGGCCACGAGCGGAGCGGCGCGAGAAGGGGGGGGGGGGCGGCGAGGCGCCGGTGAGCGAGGCGCCCGCGCCATCAGAGGGACGCGCCGCTGCGAGATGGAGGGCGGCGGTGACGGAGGCGAGGCGCGAGGCCGCGGCGGCGGCGGCGGCGGCGGCGGCGGCGAACGGCGGCACCGAGTCTCGGTGAGCGGCGGCGGGAGGAGGAGCAGCGGCGGCGCTCGCTCGCTGTTGACGGGAGCGCTTTTGAGCCTGGGAGCCCATGCCAATGCGACCGGCGTGCCCGGGAACGGAGATCGCGCGCGCGCCGCCACTCACGACGCGCGCGCGATCTTCGCGGAGTCGGGTCCCCAGAGGGAAGCGGTCTTCTCGGCCGACGTCCAGCGGCGCGCAAGGAAGCAGGCGCAGCGGAGGCGGCCTAGCACCGGCTCGGCGCCGGGCGGTTGCGCTGCCCGCGAGCCGCGTCCTGAGCCTCGGCAGCGCGCTGCGCGGCGCGGCGCTCGCGCTGCTGCGGTGCCGAGAGCGGCATGATGGTAACCCAGCTGAAGCTCGAGACCTGGGTGGCGGCTTCACCAGAAGTCCGGCGCTTCGCTGGGGCTACCCTTATATCATTAGATGTCGCGTGTATTTAGCTCTTACGTACATTAAAATCCCTGTGTGGTGGCGGCGTGCCGTCCTCCCATCCCTCCCTTGGGTTGTCTGTTTTCTTTCTTTCTTTCTTTCTTACGTACATTCCCGTTTTTGTCCAGTCCGAGCCTGGCCCATACCGCGTTGGTGTCCAGTCCGAGCCTGGCTGTTCTTCACCTTCCTACATCACATCGCATGGCTCTTACGTACATTCCCGTAGGAGGACTCTGCTGACAGGGTTTGCGATGAGGAGCGACGGGGTGATGCTCCGATAAACCCGCCGGATCTTCGACAAAGCAGGGACATTTCTTTTTTTGGAAGGGTAGGTGTGAATACAGCTTTCTGGTAGGGTTACATCGACGAACTATGCGGCAATCGACTGGGGGGCAGCCCCCCAGCACATCCCGCACAGAGACCTGGATGTAACCCGATTGTGAGCGTGAGTGAAACCGCCGATGCGATTGCTCATTGCTCAGTCAGTGACCGACAGTCAGTCGCAGCAGACTTTGACGATTGGCGGCCTCGCGCCCTCAGTCGCCCTCCTCTACTAACGGCCCTGCCCCAGCCCAGATGCCTCATCCAGGGTGGTGCAACCACTCGCGCAGGGAGGGAGAGACAGTCGGCGATCTGCGCCGCGCAGATGAGCTCCGCCTCGTCTGCGTCGAGGACGTCCACCGCAGGGCTATCATAGCGCCATATGACGCACTGCCTGTTGTTCATTACTTCGCAGGTGCCAACGTCGAGGACAATCTCACTGGTGGCGGCTGCACTCCCGGCCGGCGGTAGGAGAGATGAAGGCTAATGTACTTGGCAGTGTACGGGGCCTTCCGGCGTGAACAGTGCCCCGGGACGAAAGAGGAGGCGACGTCTCTCTCGTCCACGAGCGCCTCGATGTGCGCATCGACGGTGTAACCAGCTTTGAGAGACGGGAACGAACGGCGGTGAATCGCCGACAGGTGCGCCTTCGTTCCTACCACCACTCCCACCACCGCCAGCTCCGCCGTGGACCTTGCCGGGCCCTCTGATGATGTAGTACCGTGGAGCAGCTAGTCCGAGCCGTTGTTGTACTCTGCTGTGGCGCCAGCTCGGTGTACAATACGGACGAAGACGGCCACAGCAACGGTGTAACCAGCGCGAGCAGGCAGCGCGAACCGCTGTGCCTCGGCGCGCCGGCCGCCGAAATCCTCTAATAAGAGTTCTTTGGCATAGGGGAACCCCAACCCTAAATTTTCTTCGCCTGCGGCGGGCCATCACTTGGATTCGCTGCTTTCGGATTCATTAGCTCTTTCGCACGCCTTTATCCGTCACTCCCCCGAAGATTGGAGGTGTTGATTTATGCACAAATCTAGAGAGAGAATCTATGTGTTGCGAGCGCTAGATGGCGAAATTTTCTTCGCCTCCGGCGGGGCCGCTCGCCGCGGGGCTAGAGAGGGACTTTTGTCGATGTCGGCTAGAAGTGCTGCACCTTTTTGAGAATTTCACCCGACGACTCACCCCCCGAAGGGTTTCTCGGAGGTTGTTAGTGTTTTCTGTGAACCAGCGCACAGCGCCGGGAGGCATTTTCTTCTCAGTCAGTAACAAGGCAGCCTGAGACGTGAGAGAGAGAGATTTGAAAACCAACAAGAAATCACGACTCTCTCTCTCTCACAGTGATTTGGGCTCGGCAGCTTGTTAGCCCTCCAGCCGAAGGTTCCCTCAGCCGAAGCTGGGGCCGGTCCCGTAGCCGAGAGAGCCCGCGCCGATGAGTTCGACGCGGTCGGGAGGCCTTGCGGAGAGGCCAGCGAGATGGCGCTCGCTGTACTTGCAGCCTGTGAAGGCGATTTGTCCGGCTGTTTGTTTGCGGCGGGCGGCTTTTTGTGTGCCATTCACACGCCTCCACGTCACGTTGTGTTTGGCGTCCAGCTAAGCGCCAGCTGAAGCGCCAGGTTCCAAAACCGCCGCGACTTCCTAGCCCGCGAAAGCGAGCTCCTTTAGGACCTGCGATCTTCCTGCTTCGCCGCCAGCCATGCAACAGACCGGCTCCCTATTTCCCACTCCGTTCGGCGAGGGCTCCTCTGCGGGCCGCTACTACACGGCCCCCGCGCGGATCTCCGGCCGCTCCAAGCGCGAGCCTTGCGACGGGCCACACGCCGCTCCGGCGCTTCTCGGCGAGGGGCAGCCGGGTATGTGGCCAAGGGTGCGCAAGCAGCGGACGCCGGACGGAGCGATGGACATCTGGGAGCTCAGCGAGCGCTGCGCCGCCACCGCTCCGCCGCCGTTCGAAGGCGCTCTGGATGAGGGCGCCAATCCGGCCAAGGGCGACGAGGACGCCGCCGACACCCTCGCGGAGCTCGGCGATGGCTTCAAGCGGATCTCGATCCCCGACCCGGCGGATGCGGCGGCCCTGGCGCCGAAGCCCGACACCGAGCCCCCTTCGCCGTGCGCCGCCTCCGTCGCCAGCAACAGCTCTCGCCTCTCCGACATCCGGCTCTCGCAGCTCGAGGCGCTAGTCGCAGAGGAGGCGGCGGCGAAGGCGGCGGCGCAGGCGCACTTCGAGGCGGAGGAGGCGCTGCAGCAGCTCCACGCGTCCGGGCAGGTCGCCGACGAGATGTTCTACGGCCTGATCGGCCAGGCCAGCCGGCCGGCCATGCACTTTGCGGAGCCGGCGGCGCACGCGATGCACATGCACATCCCTCCCGCGGTGCCGCAGCGGTCCCTCGCGGCGGCGGTCACCGTGCCGAATCTGCTCCCTCCCGCCCGCTCGCCACACGGCCGGCCGAGCGCCACGGCGGTCGAGATGGAGCTCGGCGGCCGGCGGGGCAAGGAGGTGGAGCGGAAGGAGTGGCTGGCTTCCGAGGATCAGATTATCCGCGACGGAGTGCAGCGCCTCGGCTGCCGCTGGCGGCGCATAGCGGAGCGGCTTCCGGGCCGGTCGGACGACGCGGTGCGGAACCGGTGGACCCGGCTAAAGGAGATGGAGCGCAAGGGCCCCGACGCGTGGGACGCGGCCCCCGACGAGTTCAGCGAGTCGAGGGGGGGCGTTGCGGGGCCGGCCCCCCCCTTGACCTCTTCCGACGGGCAGCGGGAGGAGGAGGGGGCAGCCAAACCCGAGCGCGTGAGCTGGACGACGGAGGAGGACCCAATTGTCGTCAACTCGGTAAAGGTGTTTTCCCCCCCCCCCCCCCTTTCCCCCCCCCCCGCCTTCCCTCCCTTCTCCCCCCCCCCCCCCTCCCCCTGCGGGCCCACCTGCCCTGCTCTCTGCTCTCTCCCCCCTCTCCTCCCGCGGAGCCGCTGCCGGTTCGCTCCTCAACCGCGGCGCTACTCCGCAGGCGCACGGGCACAAGTGGAGCCAGATCTCCCAGTCGTTGCCGGGCCGGACTGACCACGCCATCCGCAACCGGTGGCAGCGGCTACTCAAACTCGAGAACCAGGCGCGAAATGGCCACGCCGCAAAGACGAAGCGCTTCCCCTCCGCCGACCACCCGCTGCAGAGGGGCCACTTCCACCCGCGCTTCCCGCAGCTGCCGTCGCAGCTACCGCCGCAGCTGCCGCCCCCGCAGCTCCAGCTGCCCACGTCGGGAAGGCCGGTGCCGGGCCCGCTCTTCACGGGCGCCGAGGATGCACGCGACGGCAGCTACGAGCTGCCTTGAGCCCGCGACTCGTGGTGTTCACGCGTCCGACGCCTCGCTCCTCCGCCTCCCCGCTCTCGCTCCTCGCGCGCGCTCTCTCTCCACGGACCAGTGCCAGTGGTCCGTGCGCACTCTGAAGCCCTCCCAGTCGTCCTCCCCCCGTCTCTCTCGTCTGTTTGGCGTGTCTATTGCCCCTCTCTCCGCGTCTGCGGGCCGGCGCGTCCGCGCGGTCCACGTTCTCTACGTCCCCCTCTTCGCGTCTCCCCGTCGTCTCGACCACTCCATCCCCGCCGTCCACCTGGGGCACCCCCGGGCGGCCTCAGTCTCGGGCCGCGCGCCGCTCTCTCCTCTCTCGCTTGAGCGCCGCTTTGGTTTTCTCTTTCCCCCCGACGAGATGCATTGCGTGCGGTTGTGTGTTCATACGACGGTTACAGAGTAGTACATGAGCTGTTGAGCTCACCCGTGCCAGAAGAGTAACACAGCAAGGAAGTGTACTGTACACCCGGCAGACAGACGAGAGACATATAACGTTGGGTGTTCTCGGCGCTGCTCTTCTTCTCTCTCTTCCCCTCTCGCTGTGTCACGAAGCGACCACCGATTTCTCGCCCGCTGTGACCCGGCGAGCGTAGCCCCTGCTCGCGAGCGCCGGCTCTGCGAGCAGGCTCTGGCGCCAAGCCTCGCCACAGCCAACCTTCTCGAGAAAGCTGTCGATGGCCCCATACTTTGAGCGGACCCAACCGAGCGTGTCCTCCATCGCGGCTGGAGGCGAGCCGCGCAATGCGGACCAATCGACGCCAGCGCTGTGCTGCTGCTGCCTGCTGCTGCTCTGCAATACTGACTGCTGCGCGGCCGCGCCGCCGCCGCCGCCGCCGCCGCCGCCGCCGCCGCCTTCGCCGAGCAGGACCTCCGACAGCGCATACTCTTCGACTATCTTTTCCGGTGCGTCGCCCACTGCGTGCTGCAAAAGCGCCGCGAGCACGCCGGTCCGGTCCTTGCCGCGCGCGCAGTGGATAAGCACGTTGCCGGATCGCCGGTCGGCGGCGATGGACAGCGCCTGCTGCCACACCGCGGGCGGCGCACTCGCGATCATCGACGTGTACAGGAGTTGCTGCTTGCCTTGCGAGAGGGCGTCGTACACGAGTCGGTCGTGCCGGCGCATGTCCACCGTGCGGTAGAGCGCGGCCTCCATCCTCTTGGCTGTGGGCAGACGCGCCGCAACCTCGTCGAGGAGCCCGTCGACGTCGCCGAGCAGAGGCACCTGGAAGCGGCGGAGGACGCCGCTGCCTTCCGAGGCGATGCACGAGGCTCCGACAGCGGCACCGCTGTCAAAGGCCGCGAGCAGACTCAGACCGACGGGCGTGGCTGTGGCGCGAGCGCGAGCGATCTCGTCGTCGTTGCGAAGGTCAACGATCGTGCGCACGCGCGCCGAGTCGAGCAGGAAGGCCGCGTCGGATGCGGTGGCTTGCTCGAGAGACGCAGAGCGAAACAAGCCCGGCAGGCTGCGCACAGGCCTGAAGTTCTGCACGCCCTCGAGGCTGCGGCAGGCGGCCGCGACGGCGCTGGAGAGCAGAAGATTGTGCATGGGCGCCCAAGGCCAGAGAGCGAAGCCACAAGAGAATTTTTCGCAAACTGAAGATTCACCCTGAAGGGTGGGGGACGAGGCCGGGCAGTGTACACGTTAGACAGTCGTGTGTGTACGTGACGGGTGGTGTCGTAGTGTCCGTGTCCACTAGCTCCGAGTAGAGGGGGCGTTCTGCAGTTAAGGGGAAACCCGGTACACGGAGCCCTCTCGGAGAACTGTGTTTACTTTAAGGCCCTTGCCCTGCGAACGCGCACCCCCCCCTAGGGGTCAGGGCTCTCTAGCCCGTAGCCCGATGCCGATCATCCGGCTCGCTGGGTGCGCTTCTCAGCTCCCCGGCCCTGGATGTGAGGTTGATGACTGCACTCCAAGTGCTCCAAAAGGCGGTCGCACGACACGATTCACGCGACAGGTGAGGCGCGGGCGACGGCTTCCCCACAAGAGAAAGCGCAGAACGAACGACGGCATGCAAAGGAGCGAACCGCGGTCCGGTCGCGCCACCGCGGCTGCGGGGTTGATTGATAGAGCAGGCCGGCTGCGGCTCCTGATGTGGAGACACAGGTTGGGATTCACACCAGACACAGTGGAGTGACACACACACATCAGGAGCCGCAGTCTCTCGCAACCACAGGCAGTCTCTCGCAACCACTACTGGAGGCAGGTCGCTAGACTGAGATACCCCCCCAATGAACACACCAGTGAGGGAGGGCGAGACGATCGAGGGGTCCCGTACCATGCGGAATCGACCCTATCCAGTGCTCAAGTGCTCAAGACTGAGATGAGACCGTCTGTGGAGTTGGGATTCCACCGTGCACCGCGCTGCGAGCCTGTCGTGTCCCTTGTCAGGAGCAGGAGAGCCCACCTGTCCCCCTCTGCCCTGATCGTCCTTCCAAAATCCTGCTCGTGCAGGTGTGGACCCTGTCCTCCCTCCCCTATCCCTCGTTTGGCTTGTCTGTTTTCTTTCTTTCTTTCTTTAGCAAACAAGAACACAACGCACTCTCAGCTCTCTCACACGACAAGCGATCCCACGACAGCGATTGTGGGGACAGCCGTCACCCACCCTCGGGCGTCTACCTCTTCCTATCTCTCTTCGCAGTTTCTCGCCAATTCTCGCAGCGACCTTCATGCCGCCTCGCGGTCTTCTCACTCTCGTCGTCCTCTCTCCTGCTGTTTCATCCTCTGACTCATCGCTCTCCCCGGCCTCGTTCTGAGACGCTGGAGCAGAAAGAAAGAAAAACAAAAAACGGACAACCCAAGGGAGGGATGGGAGGACGGCACGCCGCCACCACACAGGGATAATAGACGCTGGAGCACTGGAGTCCAACGACGCACGATTTCTTTTCCTCGCGATGTCCACCCCGCCGCGCCGCTCGCGCCGCCTCGCCCCCGCCACCTCCGCCGCGCCCCCGCCAGACACGCCCCCGCCCGCCCGCCTCCTCGATCTCCCCAGGGAGCTCCTCGTGCGCGCCCTCTCTCGCTGCGACCCCGCAGACATCGCTCGCGTCGCGGCCGTCTCGCTGCTCTTCCACGCCTCGCTTGCGCTGGAGGCCATCCGCTTGTGGGCGCAAGAGCGCGGCTACGAGCTGCCGGCGCAGCCAGCGGGCGAGAGCTGCGCCGTGCGGTGGCTGTGCTTCGCTGCGCTGCTGCGCGAGGCCAACCCGCCGGCGAAGGCGGCCGCAGGCATTCTTCGGCACAGCCTCTTCATCGACGGCGAGGGGCGGCTCTCGTCGTGCGGCAAGGCTGAGAGTTGGCAGCCAGGCCTCCTCGGGCACGGCGAGGGCGTGACGCAGCTCAAGACGCCGACCCGCCTCCCTTCTCCGCTGGGCGGCGAGCGCGCCGTGAGCGTGACGTCTGGACTCGTGCACAACCTCGCCCTTGCCGCCGACGGTGCCGTCTGGAGCTGGGGCTTTGGTCTCTCCGGCAGGTTGGGCCACGGCGACGAGCAGGACCAGCTGCAGCCAAAGAAGGTCGAGGCCTTTGTCGGCCAGCCCGTTGTCGCTGTGTCGGCTGGAGGCAGCCACAGCCTTGCCCTCACCGCCGACGGAGCTGTCTGGAGCTGGGGCGATGCAGAGGATGGCCAGTTGGGCCACGGCGACCAGCAGCAGCAGCCGCTGCCCAAGAAGGTGGAGGCGTTGGCTGGCCAGCGCATCGTCGCCGTGTCGGCTGGAGCAGCCCACAGCCTCGCCCTCACCGCCGACGGCGCTGTCTGGAGCTGGGGCTTTGGTCTCTCCGGCAGGTTGGGCCACGGTGACGAGCAGATCCAGCGGCTGCCAAAGAAGGTCGAGGCCTTTGTCGGCCAGCCCGTTGTCGCTGTGTCGGCTGGAGGCAGCCACAGCCTTGCCCTCACCGCCGACGGAGCTGTCTGGAGCTGGGGCTTTGGATACCAAGGCAAGTTGGGCCACGGCGACCAGCAGAACCAGCTGCTGCCCAAGAAGATCGAGGCCTTTGTTGGGCCGCGCGTCGTCGCTGTGTCGGCTAGGGACTACCACAGCCTCGCCCTCACCGCCGACGGCGCTGTCTGGAGCTGGGGCCATGGAGCCTGGGGCCGGCTGGGCCACGGCGACGGGCAGAACCAGCTACTGCCCAAAAAGATCGAGGCGTTGGCGGGGCGGCGCGTCGTCACCCTGTCGGCTGGAGGCGGGCACAGCCTCGCCAGCACCGCCGACGGCGCCGTGTTCACCTGGGGCAAGGGTGAAAGCGGCTGCCTTGGCCACGGGGAGGACCTGTCGGACCAGCTGCTGCCCAAGAAGGTCGAGGCGTGGGCGCCGGGGCAGTGAGGTATCGGGTGCCTCTGCACGGCGGGCCGTTTAGTGGCTCAGCTGCACTAATAGAGGAGCTTGTTGGAGTCGATCAGCCCGCGCGGTGTGCGGCGGGGTGTGAGAGCATGTGTGCCGGGAGAGCGCGGGGACGTAATGCCATGTTTGAATCCGGCAATTGGGAGGTGGGTCGTGCCGCCACCCATTGCAGGGCGCAACGTAATTGCTTCGGAATTTGGTTTTCTTTTTTAACTGCGGCGAGGGCTCACCTCCTCCGTCGCTGAGCCAGGAAAAGGAATTCCAGCCGTTGGAAAAAGAAAGATTTTTTCGTATTTGCGGGGACCACCGCCGTCTCCCCGCCGCGCGCGCGCTGGCGCGCAGAGTCTAGCTCGTCAGACGTCGCTCAGTCTCGCTTGCTTCGCCTCTGCGCGGCGCACCCCGGCCCCGCGCCAACCTCCTACACCCGCAGCAGCAGAGCAAGCCGGCCGCGAGAGCGCCGCCGGCGAGGGCGGCCACGGCTGCGCGCAGCTCCGCAGCGGCGTCAAAGATGGTCGGGAGGGCCTGCGCTGCGCGCCAGCGCTCCGCCTCTTCCCGGCGGTCAGCCCAAGCGGCAGAGAGTGCTCGAGGCTCGAGCGCCTTCGGCGGCAGTTGTGGCACGTCGGGCGGTCGGGTGGCGAACTTGGTACTCGCGCCCCGCAGGTGTCGTGTGCGCCGGAGGGAGGGAGGGAGGGAGGGAGGGAGGGAGGGAGGGAGGGAGGGAGGGAGGGAGGGAGGGAGGGAGGGAGGGAGACATGATTAATCCGTACGTGAAGGGTGGAGCTGGAGGGGCCCGTCCGCGGAGCTAGGCGGTACGGGCGCCCTCCACTGCGAAAACAAGAACACAACGCACTCTCTCACACACATGACAAGCGATCCCACGACAGCGATTGTGGGGACTACATGAAAACATGATCCGTACGTGAAGGGTGGAGGGGCCCGTCCGCAGAGCTAGGCGGCGTGGGCGCCCCCCACTGGGGTCGAGGGTAAGAGGACGTCTGCCGCTTGGGCTTGCAAAACAAGAACCCCGGGCCACGATAAGAAATCGCGGGACGCTGGAAAAGAATTTTGAAAGCGAAAACAACGGAACCTGCGAATTCGGTGATTGTATCTTTCTTCTTTCTGTGTAAGAAAAAAAGAAAGAAAACGGACGCGCGTAAATTCTGCGAATCAGCCGAATCGCCTAGGAATTCTATGGCTACGCTCATCGCAGGCACGGCGCTTGTCGCTCCTGTGTTCGCACTTGGGCCGCTGCGTCATCCTCCGCCGGCGATGCAGCAGGGCCGGTTTCCGTACCGATATGGCGGCCCGGGCTACGAGCCTCGCGGGCCGTGGGGCGGTTATGGCGGCTTCTGCGGCGGCGGCTTCGGCGGCACTCCGCAGCAGAGCACCGCGCAGGCTGCGGAGATGGCCCGGCAGCGGGCGGAGGCAGCAAGGGTGGCAGAGAAGGCTGCGAGCGAGGCCGCTCGTCTCGCACAGGAGGAGGCTGACGCGATCGCCGAGTTGGTCAAGGCCGAGGAGGCGGCAGCCAAGGCGCGGCGGGACGAGGTGGAGGCGCTCCAGCAGGCGGCCGTCGCCGCAAGGGAGCGTGCCGAGGCGTCGGCGCGGGCGGTGCCGCCTGGCCCGATGCCAGTCGGCTCCCCTCCCGGCATCGACCCTTTCCCTTACCCTGTGCGAATGAGCTCCTTCGGCCCGCCCGTGCGCAGAGCGCCAGCTCGCGCCCAGCGCACTTATGGCGGGCGCAGACAAGCGCCGCACTCGACGAGGGACGGCACGGGCGAAGCGTCCGCTCCTTCCACTTCCTCGCAAGGCGCCTCCTCGGTGCGGCGCGAGGCGCTGACGCGGAACCAGGCGGCCTTCCACGGACGCTAGCCGCGCCAAGGCCACTGGATTCCATCTGGGGTGCGGGGCGTGGTGAGAAGTGAATGTCGCTGATTTACGATAACGACTGGAGAATTTATCCGTGTAGTCCCGCCCCCACCGTCATCCCGATATCCGACGTAAGCAGTACGTACATGGGAGGAGCACCAAGCGGTAGCGCCTCTCCGCTTGTCCTCCCGTCTCTCGTTTTTGCGGTCGGGTAACAGGCCGGCAACGCCCACCTAGGCGCGCGCGCTCAGTCGCAAACCCCGGGGATCGCGGTGAATTGTGGCCCTTCACGGCTCATCGGGTGCTCCTTCTCCACCACCGACAGCGGGATCCCACCCACAATGTGTGGGCAGACCCACTTGCCCCACGACTCGCCGACCGCCTTGTCGCCGACGGGCATCGCCTCCTCGTCTCGCACAAAGATACCCGCCTGGCGCAGCGCCGTCCGCGTCATCTGCAGGCAAACCCATGCGTGCGAGTCGTCCTGGTAAAAGTGGTTGGCCGTCTCGAGCAGCCGCGCCGGCACGCCCGTCGCGTGCGTGTAGTGCCCATCGGCCTCAAAGGTGGCGGGGTAGTAGGCGCCGCCGCTCTTCTTGGCCGCCTCCCACGCAGGGACGGGGCACATATGGTAGAGCACTTCGGGTGGTGGCTCCGACAGCACCGCGCTGGCGGGCGCGTGCAGCGTCTGCAGCTTCTCTGCGATTTTCGACTCTTTCGCGTCGCTGTCCTCACGGATGCAGCGGTCCGGCCGAAACGCCGGGATGCACACCGGGACGTACTCGGTGCCTCCCTCGGGGAAGGATGGCCGGAAACGTGTGCCCTTGGCGACAAAGATGGTCTCGCCAGCCTTCGCCGTGAGGCTGCCTCCCTCAAACTCGCAGTCAACCCGCCCCTTGACCACGCAGATCCACTCGTCGTAGTGCAGCGTCAGCCACGGCTAGGGCGGGAGAGGGCCGGAGAGGTGAGTGCTGCGAGTCGTGGCTGCGGCGGAGAGGGTCGGGGCTCCGGGAGCGAAACCTCGGCAGTCGGCTCTGCGACCCTGACGACCGCAATGGAGAGCTGGTCGTCCTTGGTTCCTACGTTGCCCGCGTACTCGTCGATGTAGAACTCTGGCGTCTCGACCACACGCACAGCGGCGCCGATCACTTTCACCACCATGTCGGGGCGGCTTCTCGGAGGTTTCCTCAGTCAAATAAAGAAAAAACAATCTTACTGTAGATGGGAAAATTAAAAAATGAGAGGGCAACTCGAGGCTGCCTCTCTGCGCGGCGCGGCTTCAATCAAACAGCCCCGGCGGCGTGGTCGCGCGCCGCCTCGCGTCGGCGGGGAGGGCCGCCTCGAGGGCAGCCATCGCCTCGAGGCAGCGCTCGTCCTGCCACGGCAACGCCACCACCTGCGCGCCGGCCGGCGGGAGGGCCGTTGGGAGGGGGGCGCGGTGGGCCGGGTGGGCCGAACCGCCCACCTGCACGCCGACGGGCAGGCCGGCCGAGCCGGCCGCCGCCGCCTTGGCGTTGGCGGAGAGGGTGTCGGAGAAGCCGGACGAGTAGTGCTGCTCGTCGTCGCGCACCGTCGTCACCGGCACGGTACCGGCGGGGAAGTGGAAGTTGTTCCACAGGAAGGTGTACGAGCAAGCCTGGTTGAGCTTGGTGCTCAGCCCGTGTGGGAAGGCGGGCACGCCCAGCCCGGGGCACACGAGCGCGTCGAGCCGCAGCTCGCGCCACCTGCTCGCGCCTCGACGGTGTGAAGAGGCGGCCTTCGCGAGCGCCCAGCTGCAGCCTCGCGCCACGCCGTTCGATGAGCTCCGCGCGAAGGACGTCCCTCCGGCTGATAGCGCGCCAGTACTCGTGCACGCTGTGCCGCCGCCCGGCGTGGACCAGGTCCGCCTATCGCAGGCACATCGCGCCTCTGGGGCCGCCGCGCCGCGCTCTGCCGCCGGGCGATCGGCTCGCCATGCGCGGCTGTCCGAGGAGGTGGCGGAGGGCCCAGCGCAGGGCGGGGCGGAGAAGTGCGGGCAGGGTGGCGATGCGGAGCAGGAAGGAGTACATCGGCAGCAGCTCCTCCCCTTCGAGGCCGTCGATGAAGCCCTGCAGCCCGCCCTCGGCCGCGAGCAGGGAGACGTACAGCAGCGCCGCCTCGTAAAACTCGCCCGGCAGCGCAACCACCTCGTGCCCCGCCGCCTCGAGCGCAGCCGCCGCCTCGGACACCGCGCGGCCGCACGCCGGGCTCGGGTCGAAGAAGCTGTCCGTCGCCAGCAGCCCAAACCTGCTCGGGCGCGGTGGTGTGAAAGTGAGGCCCTCTCACAGCCGCCGCCCGCCGCTCTGTCTGCCGCGCCGGAGTCGCCCTCGCGGCTTGCCCGGCTCCGCCTCGGCCCAGCCTGCTCGCGGACCGTCACAAGATGTAGCCGAGATAGGTACAGCCGAGACATAGCCGAGATCGGCCCAGCCTGCTCGAGGGCACGTCACGTCCGAGTCGGACATGCCGCCGCCCGCCAGCCACGCCCGCATCACGAGCCGCAGATCCGCCACGCTCCTGCCGAAGGGCCCCGCCGTCGACTTCACGGCGATCTGGCCCGACGGGCGGTTGCCGGGCCGCGGGACCGCGACGCCGCGATTGCTGATGCGGTCGGGGGTCGGCTTGAAGCCGAAGACGCCGCAAAAGTGCGCCGGGATGCGGATTGACCCGCCGATGTCGGTACCGATGCCGAGCGGGCTTGCGCGCGCGGCGACCAGCGCCGCCTCACCGCCGCTGCTGCCGCCGGGGGTGCGAGAGGCGTCCCACGGATTGCGCGCCGCGCCCCAGATGCGGTTGGCAGACTCGGGCAGCATGAGGCACTGCGGCAAATTGCTGCGGACGAACGGGATGGCGCCTGGCGGCGGGGCGGTCGCAGGACGGTTGCGCGAGCGGGCGTCGGCGCTGCAGCGGGGCTGGCACACGCGGAGCGCGCGCCTTGGTCGCGCAGCAGCTTGACAAGGAGGCTGTCGTGCTCGGCGGGTGCGCCGCACCGCACCTGCAGCCCGCAGGTCGAGTCGCAGCCAGCCATGTCCAGCTGGTCCTTGACGGACACCGGAAGGCCGTGCAGCGCGCCGAGCGGTCTGCCCGCGGCGCGCGCCGAGTCCGCCTCCTCGGCGGCGGCGAGCGCGTCGGCGAAGCACTCCTGCGCGTTTGTGTCGAGCCTCTCTCCGACGTGCAGGGCGCGGGAGCAGAAGGCGCGCATGACCTGCACAGAGGTGAGCCTGCCGGCCGTCATCTCCTCGAGCAGCGCCGTGGCGTTGAGGCTGCAGATGTGGCGCATATTTTCGGCGGCGGGCGAGTGGTCGCTCGGAGCGGGCCACGGCGCGACGAGCCGGCTGCGCTTGTACGCGTCGCGGGCGGCGTCGCGGCTGGCGCGGGCCTTGGCGGCGCGAGCCGAAAGATCCGCGGCGGCCGGGCTGGGAGAGAGAAGGGAGCGGAGGCAGAGCGCGCCTGCCGCAATCGCCACGGCGGCGGCGGAACTCTTCAGCAAGGCGGCGCCGAAACGCTCCATAGGAAGGGGCAACCACTGTGGTGTTCCTTGTGGTGGGGTGCGGCGGCGCAGAGTGCGCCGGAACGGCGGAGAATTTTACGAAACGCGAACGCGTACCCCCGGTGTGTGTGTGTGTGTGTGCTTGAGCACTTGAGCACTGGATAGGGTCGATTCCGCGTGGTACGTACCCCAAAATCACCCGTTTTTGCCCAATTTTCGGTCATCCGTCAAAAAAAATATCTGAAGATCCCAACATAGGATTCTCCCCAAACCTTGCTCAGCTGATCCAGCACGGGCCGTAGGCCAGCCCAGGGCAAAGAAACGAGTACCTCATCAGGCTTCCCTGAGCGTCACAGCTCGGTGATCGCGCCGGCCGGACACCACTGTAACGTCCGTTCCTATCACCGGCCCGCCGCACACCAACCCTTAAGTTTCCGTGGTGCCCCCTTAGAGTATCTGCCCGGGCTCGGCGCGACTCTGGCCCCCACTCCTCGCGTGTGACGCTCGCAGAGGATTGTCCACCGTCCTCCGCCTTTCCCTCACCGTAGCGAGGCTCGGCGCTCCGGTCTCATAAAAGGTGGCCACTTGAATCTCGTGAACACAGTATTGCTAAAAATCTCTCAAAGGACCCTCCCGTGTTGCGTAACCGAGGGCCCAACTTCAGAATCGTGCTTTGAGTTGGGTTGTTTCGTGTTGGTTGGGTTGGGTTGGTTGGGTTGGGTTGGCCCGGGTTGGGTTGTTCCGCGTGAGGTTGGGTCGTCGGCGCGAATGGTGAGGTCTCGACCGCCGCCGCTCACGCCAGCGGACGGCCACCATCGGTGTTTTTGGCTTCGCCACCGTCCAAGGCGTGCGCCATGCGCTCGCCGGCATCGAGCGAGCAACGTGATCGACCGAGCGGCTTGCTGTGTGGACGCCTTCTTGTGGCTCTCGTCGAGAGCGTTTTGCGTCCCGGCGGGTGGGAGAATATGTGTCGTCTGATGTGTCACTGTGTGCGTCACATCGGTCTTGATAACAAGCACGGTCGATCCGTCGAAGCGATACACTCGTTCCTATCACGCTGGAAGGCTGGCACGGAGCTCTGTGCCGGCACACAGCAAGAGCCGTGCGGCAAGAAGAGCTCGATGGGGAGCGAGAACCGTCAGAGGTGCTCACCCAGGTTTCGGAAGTCCGCCTTGATGCGGTCAGTTCCCCCCAGGTTTGACCGCGCAGCTCGCAAGACTCGTCGAGCACTCGCAGCCTTTCTGCGCCTCTGACTCTCTGCAAGCTATGCGGGAAGAGCAGTTTATCCGCAATATATCGACGAGTTCGAGAGAGCCACACGCTATTCACTACGATAGGGATTGAGAGCATCGCGACAGACTATCCGATACGCCCGAAAAACAGACAGTCCGCTGGCTGCCTCACGCCCATATTTGGCCGACACATTACTCAGGGCCACCGTCCTCCCATGTTCCCCGCCCCCGTCCCCACGGGGTCAAGGCCACAGACAAGATTCCAC